AAGCATTCTCCTTAAGGAGGGGCAGATTAAGAGGAAGAACTGTTAGGAGCCTATTACAATAGCTTAAATGGGAGAAGATAAGGGCTCAATGAGGGCTGCTGCCCTTGGGATAGTGGGAACGACTAGATTCGGGAATACTCATGAGGAAAAGTCGCGAGGAAAAGTCGCTTCACGAGGAAGACTGATGACTGGCTGTGGGGGCCAGGCAACGGACGAATCTGGAGTGGCTGTCGGGTTTCTAGCTGGGGTGACGACTGGCTGGTGCCCTTTGCTGAGGTGGGGAACCAGGAGAGAGGAGAGGTTGTGGGAAGGGGAAGGACAAGGTGGTAGTTCAGTTGTGGACATTTGGGGCTTGAGATATGGGTGGGCATATCAACTTGAGGGGCGAGACACCCCTTTGGATATGCTCTGACACATGAGTGGAATGAATAGGAGATGAGAGACAAGGTTGCCCGAGCAGAGGGTGTAAACGGTGGCTGAGAATGGAGTCCTGAGCCAACACCAACATTTCAGGGGTGGACAAAGGAAGAGCAGGACCAAGAAGGAGGGGGAGAACAAGAAAAGAGTAGTGTCACGGAAGCCAAGGGGTAGAGGGTTTAGGGAAGAAGGAAAGGGTCTAGAGAGCGAAATGTAGTAGCCATGTCTGGGCAGATAGAAATGCCTGTGGAGGGGCACCTGGGTGGCTCAGCCCCGTAAGTATCTGCCTTTGGCTCAGGTCATGATCCCAGGGTCCGGGGATCAAGCCCCTCGTCTCCCTGCTTGGCGGGGAGTCTGCTTCTCTCTCTGCCCCCTCTCTTCCTGCTCATGCTCTCTCTCACACAAATAAATAAATAAAAATCTAAAAAAAAAAAAAAAAAAAAGACCTGTGGAACTGGATGGCCCTGGGCATTGTTGCTGGGGCAGTTTTCGTAGAAGGATGGGGACAGAAGCCAGATTACAGTGAATTGAAGGGTAAATGGGAATTGAGAAAGTTCACGTGTCTTGTGCTCTTGTAGAGCTTAGCTGGGAAGGAAGACAGAGAAGGTACTGGCTAGAAGGCAAAAAGGCAAGAGAAAGTGCTTAGGGTGTAGGGCTTTTTGTTTTGTTTTGTTTTGTTTCATTCTTTGTTTTTAAGGCTAGAAGCAGCCTTAACATGTTTATGTGCTGAAGAGAGAGACCCCAGTAAGGAGAAGAGGTGAAGGTACAGCAGAGGGAAGGGAAGCTCATGGGGCATCCTCCTGGAGGAGAGCCAGTGAATGGGGCAAGAGCACAAGAAGGTTGTGTACCTCAGCAGGAGGCAGGAACCCACTTCCTCTGAGACTGAAATGAAGAAAGGGAGACTGCATGCAAGTGTGGATAAATTGGTGTGTAAGAGAGGCAGGAAGTTAGAATATTTCCGATGGCTTCAGTTTTCCTCTTCATAATGGTGCCTGGCGGAAGGAAGGCAAATCTTTATTTATTTATTTTTTTAAGAGAGAGAAAGCACGCATGCAAGTGGGGAGTTGGGGAGGGGCAGAGGGAGAGGGAGAGAGAATCTCAAGCAGGTTCCACACCCAGCGCAGAACCTGCCATGGGGCTCCATCTCATGACCCTGAGATCATGATCTGAGTCCAGATCAGGAGTTGACAACTTAACCAACTAAGCCACCTAGGCGTCTTTTTTGTTGTTGTTGTTGTTGTTGGTCAGATCTCTGTTTATTGCAGAGAGAAAATGGATGGAATTTAGGGTTAAAAGCATGGATGGAAAAACAATGGAAAAGAAATGCCTTCTGTTTTCAGTTGAATAGGGGTCTATAAACTTGTTTCTAAAATCATTTGATTTGTTATTATTATTATAGTCATGAGTTGTGTATCATGGGTCTGGTCCTGCAGGTTAAAAAGCCTGATGCAGTGCCCAGTGAAACCCAAGAAGAAGCTGTTCCTATGAGCTTTAGAGCCATACCAGAGATGGAATTACCAAACCCAGACAGAGCCTCCAGAAAGGAAAGATTTGGGATCACACTGGACTCAAGGGTGGCACAGCTCTACTCCCTGTGCCTTGTGTTCAGCATGTTCAGGACAGAGCAATTGTTCCTTCAGCCACCCATGACTAGAAGAAGGAATTTCTATTACCCTAGGCCAACCAGACCCAGAAGGTTCTGTCAGAGGTCCCACATCTGAGTGGAGAAGAGGTAAAGATAAGAGGGACTCTGTTCCTGAGGTCACAGGCCCTGTGGCCCTGGGACGGTGTGTCATATCCCTATGGGCCTTGAGCTCCAGGGGAGCAGCGCTGAGCCTGGGGTCCCAGAATCACTGTACTAATTAATTAGCCTCAGACACCGACTAGAGCGCAGAGATGCTCAGGGGCTGAGTTGCCCATGGGAACAGAGGCCCACCCCCCCACTCCCCCCCCCCGCCCCCGGGATTCCTGAGCATCAGCCTCATCCCAGGACAGCAGGTGTTCAGGGCACGTCCTGCTGTCCTGGTGGCAGGACCCCAGTCACACTCGATGTCCCTGGTGTTCACTGCTGATGGGAATGCCTCCTGGAGATTGTGACACCAAGGACAGCTGGGTGAGCACAGGTTGACCTGACTTCTGGAAGGACAGAGAAGCCCAGAAATGGCAGAGTCCAGGAAATTGTGCAGCCAGAGAGGAGACAGCCGTGTGTGTGTGTGTGTGTGTGTGTGACCAAAAATGAGGCCCCGAGTCTTAACACTCTCTGGAATAAAAGGCTTGGTCCAGCTTGAGCATTTATCTGGTGTCTCCTGTCTAAAGTACTAGGACCTTTTCCTGGGACCAGTTTCCCAAGTCCCAGGAGCTGTGTTCTGGGTTTCTCCATCTGCTCATCCAATTCCTTTGAATTTCAAATGGTAAGACTCCCTCTTACCCTCTGGAGGTAAAAAGTAATCTATAAGAAGTTGTTGAAGGGTGGACAAACTCCACAGGCAGAGAGCCACTTGCTATGCCCCGAGACTGGGCTTGGGCTATTCAGTCTTTGGGGAACTACTTGCTAAGATTCTCTAAGCTAGCCTCAGCCCTCCAGGCCAGGGTTCTGAGCCTGGGCCTGACGGAGACACCAGAGTCCTGGGCAGGCACCTCAGGTCAAGGGATACCTTTGTCCTAACTCATTTGGGACCTGCTAGAGCTTGCCGCCCGAGTATCTACCTGAACCTTTTTCCTTCTGATGTTTTCAGATTTCTTTTTTTAGGAACAACATGCTTCATGTTGATTACCTGCTGGGTAAAGCCGTACAATACAATGAATCATTTTTGGGAATTGTATGAAATCGTGAACTTCTTGGCTGCTGGCGCTAAGGGTCAGAAGTGGCCACTTCACACTCGCCTCCCCCAACCTAATCTGAACCATATACACACAGAAGTCTGTGGTTCTCAGCTTCGGCTGTAGACCAGAACCTCCTGGGGTTTTAAAAAATACCACTGCTCTACCGCAGACCAATTAAATTAGAATCTCTTAAGAGTACCCAGGCATCAGCACTTTTAAAAAGTGCCCCCGGTGTTTTTAACGGGTAACCAAGGTTGAGAACTGCTGGGCCAGGCTAGCCTTGTCCCGACAACCGTTCATTCAGTGCTATCTTTGTGTCATGGCCTCTAAAGAAAAGGATACCAACTCTGGAGTGTGTGAAGGGGGCTGCTTGCAGCCAGGACCAGCTGGCCTGGGGGTCCTGCCTTCCTGCCCGGCTTCCTGAGGGCCAAGGGGAATCCATAAGGCATGCCTGTAATCCATCAGGTACCCGGCTCTCACCTGTTGCCAGGCTTTGTTTTATTGCTCATGTTGGTGTATTTGGGGAGGATCTTAGTGCAGTCTGAGTGGTTACAAGGTCTGTTTCATTGGACTCTCTTTCACTTTATAGCTTTATTGAGGTATAATGGACATACAATAAACTGTACCTATTTAAGGCATACAATCCGATTAAGTTGTGACATATTTATATAGCCGTGAAACCATTGCCACAATCTAAGGAATATATTTGTCACCCCCAAAAGTGTCCTTTAAGCTTCTTTGTCATCCATCTCTCTTTTCCCTCCTTCCCAGATAACCACTGATCTCCTTTCTGTCACGGTAGATAGTTTTCGTTTTCCAGGATTTTATATAAATGGAATCCTACATATTCATACTTTTTTGTCTGGCTTCTTTTACTCAGATATAGTTATTTTGAGATGCATCCATGTTAGTGCATGTGTCAGTAATTCATTCTTTTTCGTAGCTAAGTTAGTGTCATTTTGTCGACATAATCACATTTTTTAATTCATTCCCCTGTTGATGGACAGACCTGGGTTTCCAGTTTGGGGATATGACAAATAAGGCTACCATGAATATACGTATGTGAGTCTTTGTGCAGACATGTGCTTTCATTTTTCTTGGATAAGTGACTAAGAATGGGATAGTTGAGTCATATGGTAGGTGGATGTTTACCTTTTCAAGAGGCTGCCTGTTTTCCAAAGTGGGTGCCCCACTTCACATTCCCCACCAGTGTATGAGAATGGTCCTCTTTATTTTATTTATTTGTTTGTTTGTTTTAAGATTTTATTTATTTATTTGAGAGAGAGACAGTGAGAGAGAGCATGAGCAGGGAGGAGAGTGAGAGGCAGGTTCCCTGCGAGCAGGGAGCCCGATGTGGAGCTTGATCCCAGGACCCCCAGATCATGACCCGAGCCAAAGGCAGACACCCAACCAACTGAGCCACCCAGGCACCCCAAGAATGGTCCTCTTTAAACGGATCGAAGAGCCCCTGTTTCCATCTTCTCTTGGCTGATGCAAGGTGCCTCCTTCTTTCCTCGGGATACACGGGAGAGAGAGGAGGGTGGGAGCAAAGGACCAGACATCTGTAGATGAATGGAAAGGTGGATGGATGTATTCAGTAGAGTTGTATTGGTATCTCTCTTTTTCTCCATCTTTTTGTTTCTTTCCATCTGTTGTAGCCACTGGAGAAGCAGGCAGCGGCCCAGATTATGTCACCCAGGTCACATTATTAGTTCAAGTCTTTTTGTGGCTGAATGATATTTTTAACCCCTCACCTGCAGGTGCCCAGACACCATGCCAGAATCCTGTACACCTGACACTGGGAGGAAGTAGAAGACTTCCTTGTCTCCTCCGCTCCCCGTCCTCACCATGTCTTCGACTCAGGGCAATGGGGAACACTGGAAGTCCCTGGAGTCGGTGGGCATCAGCCGCAAGGAGCTGGCCATGGCCGAAGCCCTGCAGATGGAGTACGACGCGCTGTCCCGGCTCCGGCACGACAAGGAGGAGAGCAGAGCCAAGCAGAACACAGACTCCTCTCTCATCAGCTGGGAAGAGCCCGTCCTAGACTTCTACAGCAAGCCGGCAGGAAGGCAGAAGGACCTCAAGCTCTTACGTGGTCTTTCTGGCTCCGATCCTACCCTCAATTACAACTCACTCTCCCCGCAGGAAGGGTTATCCAACCACTCTACCTCCCAGGGCTCCCAGCCTGGCCCGGATCCCTGGCCCAAAGGCTCTCTGGCTCGAGACTATCTCTACATCTTTGATGGTTCAGATGAGGGGCTCTCTTTGTCGCCGGGGGACATAGGACCGGGGGACATAGATGGCTCTTCCAAGAAACTGTCCCCACCTCCTCTGCCTCCCCGCGTCTCTATCTGGGACACCCCTCCGCTGCCTCCCAGAAAGGGGTCTCCCTCATCCTCCAAGATCTCCCAGCCCAATGACATCAACACGTTCTCTTTGGTAGAGCAACCTCCGGGCAAACTGCTGGGGCGTTGCATCCTAGAGGAGGAAGAGGAGCGGGGGGGTGGGGGTCCGGGACGCCTCCTGGGGCCTGTGGACTATGACGGCATCAATGATGCGATCACGCGGCTCAACTTGAAGTCCACCTACGATGCGGAGATGTTGCGTGACACTACCAGGGGCTGGAAGGAGGGCCGGGGGCCCCTGGACTTTGGCGGCAAGGACAGTCCTGGGAAACCCGTGGCCCGGAGCAAGACCATGCCCCCTCAGGTGCCGCCGCGCACCTATACCTCCCGCTACGCCAACGGGAAAAATAAGACCCCAGGCAAGAACCGCCGGATTTCCGCAGCTCCGGTGAGGACCTCGTTGCGTTCCTTCTGCTCTCCTTTCCAAGCGCCATTCGGGAAACAGAGTAGTCCTTCTTTCATCTTTGTTGTTCCAAATCCAAATCTGCTACCCACTCACCCCGTTAGTCCTCTCCTCCCCTCTGCCCCTGTCTTCTGGCCCCTGGGCCCTGGCTGGGGAGAGGAAGAGGGGCACCAGGAGAGATGGGGCTCCTTTTCAGGGCTGAGTTTTGTGCCCAAACAGCGCTTGCGGGGGGCAGGTGTTTTGGAATCTTGGTTCCTAGCGTGTGCTCACTTCCGGAGGTAAGGATGGTACTGGGCTGAGGGGATTCGTGGGGACTCTGTGGCCAAATGGCCTTGTGGACTGGAGCAGGTTGCTTCTGCTTTCTGACCTGCTTTGCCCAAAGTGCTGCGTGGTGATAGGCTCAATCATGGCATTAACCAGTGTTTAGTGCTCGCTGGTCCCCAGACCCCGGTCCAGACCCCTCAACAATCCTGGACTGGATAGTCCAAGGCACACAGCTCTGGTCTCTCTTGTTCCAAAGCTTGCTGGTTCTTGCTCACTGTCTTCTTCTGTCTCCCTCTGTCTCTCAGTCTCTCCGTCTCTCTGTCTCTCTACCCCCTCTGTCTCTGCCTTTCTCTCTCTGTCTCCCCTCTGTCCCTTTGGTTCTATTTCTATCTCTCCCTCTGTCTCTCTGCCTGTCTCTCTCTCCTTCTCTCTCTCTTACTGTGGGGAACTATACAGAACAAGATTTACCATCTTGGCCAATCTGACGTGTACAGTTCGGTGACATTAGCAACATTCACATTGTTGCCCAGCCATCCCCACCGGCCACCTGCTTTCACAGTGAAAATATTTAGAAAAGATATGCAGTGTGACAATGATCATTTTGCTTTTATCCGTACACAGTATAAAATAGCAAAGTAGCCACACGGAAGTATGGGGTAGGTTCCAGGACAGCTTTGATCTTTTTTCTGGTTTAAAAGAGTGTCAGCAGCATCTCCATGGGTGGGACCTGAGGCCACTTGGAGTTTCACCCTTGGTTCTGGAGGCCCTGACCCCAGAGGGAGTCAAGAGGTATCTTACAGCCAGTGGCTTCCGTAGGAACAGCATTCCACTTCATTCCATCCCTGTTTCCTCCTTATCCATTGTCTAAGAGACATGGGGGCTTTCCCGCCCTGTGTCCCAGCAATTGGGATCCTTCACAACTCTGGGAAAGTCACGTGGTCCTTCCTTCCTGTGCTTCTGCTAAGAGAGTCCCCCAAAGCAGAATTGGCTTCTGGGAGAAGTCACGACTCTGGAGCTCAGGGCTTTTTAAAGGCCCTGCTCCGAGAGGTGGGGCTGCTCCCGCTATTTATAGGGACAGGGAGATTCCTGTTCCCAGCTCCCAGTTCCTCACCCAGAGCGGGGCCTGCTCAGAGTCAGGTCACCCGGGTAGGTGGTCACCTCTGTTGCTCCCTATCTCTCTTGCCTCCTTCCACCACCGCACCCTTCCCCTAACCCTTGCATGTCACCAGGGTTCTGGAGGGAGCTTGGTCCAGAGTGTCCTTGAAGAAGCTAGGGCAGAGCAAAAAGCTCTTGCCAGTTCTTGGGGTGGGGGGGAATGCGGCCTTGGTCGTCCCCCCCTCAGCTCGGGGTGGGGGCTCATCCCACCGGGCAGGGGGGCCTCTCGGACCATCGGCCCATCCCGCCACCCCGCCTCCACCGGGCTTTCAGACAGAGGGACCCTCCTTATCCCAGGCCTGCGGAGCCGGCTCTGGAAATGGTCGGCTCCATATGCCAGCCTGGTGCCCCCGCTGCGAGCCTCTGTCCGGCAGACCCCCCCAGCCGGCGTCGGGTGATGCCACCAGGGCCTGCCAGCCGCGCAGACGTAAGTGGCTTTTGTTTTCTTACGGAGCCAGGGGGTGGTACTGAAGGGCATGGAAATGGCCTTCAGTAGCCACTCTGTTCTCTATCCCCCTCGCCTTCCCCTCCTCTCTCTGTCTCTCTGTCTCTCTGTCTCTCTGTCTCTGTCCCCCCTTCACTTTTGTGGGTTAATTGCTGACACTGGCACTGTTGCTGTGAGTGGGACACAGGCTGGAACTTGGCAGAGCAAGGGCCTCACGTGCCAACCGCCCCTGCTGCGCCCTCCCCTCTGTACCCCTCCACACTCACCCTGGGAGCAAGGCTAATGAGAGGGGTCACTCAGAGGAAACAATTTGGATATTCAGATGAGGTGCTCAGTGGCTGCTGTGGGGCCCTGGGGGCCGGGAGGACAGGAGGACAGGAGGACAGCCAGCGGGGAGGGCGAGAGGTGAGGCATTGCTCCGAGCCCAGGCCGCGCTCCCCGGAAGCAGCTGCTGGCCGTGGCCGCGGTACCGGATGCAGGCTGGGCTCCATCTGAACTGCAGTCCCCGTGGGCTGGCCTGTCAGGCAGGAACCTGCCGGGCCCCAGCTGCCCCCGCCACTTCCTCCTCCCTAGGGCCCCTGCTGCGGGCCTCGGCCTCGGCCGAGAGCTGCCAAGGGCTTCTTTAGCACTCGCCCTGTGCTGGGAGACAGGGCGCGTCTCGTCTGCGAGAATCCCCCCCACCACACCCAGGTTCCCGGGTAGAAAGTGGGGCCCAGGCAGGCTCCCCGACATTCCAGCTGAACTCTCTCGGGAGCCAGGAGCAGCTAAGCCTTCTCCAGGTTCTCTCCTGCCCAGAAAGCCGCTTTGATGCTTTCTTCCTCAAATCGCATTGACCGAGAAGGCACAGGCCGGAGTCACCGCCTCCATCTGAGGGCTCTCGGTCTCTCTCTGCTTTGGGTCCCTGGGGCTCGCTGTGGATGCTGAGGCCTTTGTCCCGGGCCCAGCTTCCCTGGGCACTGTTTGGGCAACCCACTGGCCCTGGACCCCACGTGAGATGGAGACAAATAGCTGCCACACCCATTGGAGCACCCCAGAAAACCAGCCCAGGGACCGGCAGGGCTGCGTGCTGCCTAGCCGGGGCTGAGCTTGTTAGATGCTGGCCGCCCCCACCCCCGCCAGGAGGGGAGGTTTGGCCACATTCTTGTCCATTCCACCCAGACTTCCAGCCTCCGCCAAGGCTGCAAGTTCTCTTTTTTCCCCCTTGGCTCCCGGTCTCCTAGGACAGCAGATAAAGATATTCCCGGATTTCCCACATTTTCCTGTGCCCCTGAATGTTCAGTGCTTAAAAAGCCTCTACACCCAGAGTTTCAGGGTTTAGATCTGGGAGCAGCCTGTGGGAAGGGGGTGCCCTGAGGGAAAAGGCACTGAGTCAGCTGCTCTTCTCTTAAAGGTGGACTCGCGGCGCCATGCTGTTGCCAATGGCCATGAATTGTTTGAGGTCTCAGAGGAAAGAGATGAGGAAGTTGCTGCATTTTGCCACATGCTGGATGTGTAAGAGTTAAAGAATGGGGTGTTGGGGAGGGCTCTGGGGGCTGGGGAGGAGGGCCAGCCCACTCAGAACTTTTCTCTAGGAAGGAAGAAGAGCCATATACAATCAATCTCAATTCACGGCTATGGGGTATTTCCTACAATAGGTGTTTGTGGGCTTCTTGAAATCTTAGAAGTTTCACATTTTGGGCAAAGTTTATCAACCATTGATCCAACAGACAAATTATCCCAGTGGCTTCAGGCTCGGTTGCCCTCAGGAGCAAATGCACCCTGGATGGAGCGAAGAGTATATTACCTGGAGCTAAAAGAGAAAGGAAATGGAGCCGGGAGAATTTCCCACTGAATTGAGCACAGAAAGCTTTGTCACTGTAGAACTTAGAACTGTCCCTGCCATGCAGCGGGGCTTGGGAAACATTTTGTAGCTGTAGCAAATGTATCAAGAACATGGCTTCCCAGAGCTGCTTCCCCACTGCCCCAATCCCGGGCTGCAGACCTGGAGGGCCGGGCTGAGCAGGGACAGAAGGGACCTTGGCCTCAGGGTGGAAGGGTTCCAGCAGGTTTCTTCTCAACTGCTCTCTTCTGAAGGCACAGTGAGGATCCTTCTCCCTCTCTTTCTGTACAGCCTTCGATCTGGCTCTGACATCCAAGACTACTCCCTCACCGGATATGTCTGGAGTGCTGTCACCCCGAGCCCAGAGCACCTTGGGGATGAGGTCAACCTGAAGGTGACCGTGTTGTGTGACAGCCTACAGGAGCCACTCACTTTTACCTGCAACTGTAAGTGGGGAGGACGGATGAGCATCCTTTGAGGTGGAGCAGGGATGGCTGTGGTCTGGACTACAGGATCCTTTGACCTCAAGTCCCACCCCACCTGTGGCCCTGAGGGGCAGTGGGGATGCTCCTCTGGGGGACTGGCTCTGGGGCCAGCTTTAGGGGCCCACGGTCATTTTCCCCAAGCCCAAACTGTGTGTTCGCCTGCTTTATCTGGATAGCCGTGGTGCTGGAGAATGTTTAGCCAGGAATAGGGCGATCAGCGTGGGGATGCTGAGCCCCACCTTCCCCGGTTCCCCCCATCATTGCTCCCCTGCCCCACCCCTTACAGGTTCTTCCACTGTAGACTTGCTCATCCACCAGACTCTGTGCTACACCCACGATGAACTGAGGGATGTGGACGTGGGGAACTTTGTGCTGAAGCCCTGTGGGCTGGAGGAGTTCCTGCAGAAGTGAGTGAACTGTGGGGAAAGCGGGTAGGAAGTGGCACCTGCCTTTGGCGTGGTAGGACTGTCAAGGGGCTTCCTCGGGGTGGTGCTGGGCTCACGGCCTGGGGCTGGCAGCCCCTCCCTGATCCGATGGCTGCTTTCTGGGCACACGCACAGCCACGTCGCACTTTCCCCAGGCACTCTGTCTTCCAGCAGGGCTGGCCGGCTTCTGAGCCAAGTCTGCTGTGGAAAGAGCTTGGAGCTGGGACCAGGCAAAGACTAAGTCATATCTGCTTGCAGACGTCTGCGTGTGGAGAGATGTGGGTGTGGGGCCGAGGGGCGGGGAGGGGACTGTCAGGGGCTACTTCTCCTAGATTGTGTGTCTTTATGGTCAGGGGCAGATGGAGGACTGGGCAGAAGTGCCCTTGCGGAACTTAGGGGAAAAATTACAGTTGCTCCCTCTTCCCCGTTTCCCTGCCAATAAGCCTTTCCCCCACTGGCATGTGCAGCTGGTTATCCAGCAAAGGCTTACGTCCAGCTCCTCTCTACCCAGTGCCCTGGGCAGCAGGCAGCCTCCTAGAAAGTCTGATGTGGACCAGCTACAGCTCTGCCCCTTGCACTGCCCTGGGGCTCTGGGTGCTGGGGTGGGAGTGGGAAGGAATACACCCTTCTGGGAGTAGGGCTGTGGGCAGGCTCTAGAATCAGCCAGAAGGCAGCAGATAAGGAAAAAAGAGATATGCTTTCCTCCCCAAGCCTCTGGCTGCCTACTGCCCACTTCCCCTGGCCACGCAAAGAAAGCAGGCCTTGGCGGTGGGGAAAGGAGGGGCCTGGGTCTCAGTTCTTAGGAGGGCTGGATGAGCACCACCACTGGCTCGAGATGCAGGGATGCTTCACCAAAGGCCAGAGCAGTTCTTGACTGGTTTCTTTCACCTTGGGGAAAGGAAGGGCAGGGCCCTGAGTGGCACCGCCCCAGGAGCACTGTTCAAGTGTGTTCAATGTGTACTCACCTTCCGTAGAGGCGTAAGAAGGGGTCCTAGACTCAGGGTCTCCTGGCAGAGAGCACTCCAGGCACTGTTGTAAGGGAACAAGGGGCGTAATGGATCACACCAGTATGGCTGGTTTGGGTTCTAGCTTGCCACTTACTAGTTGTAAAACCCTGATCCTCAGTTTCTTCCCTAAAACGTAGTAAGGACTGCATGTAAGAAGGCCGCAATGAGCAGGGAAGGACCAGCCCAAAGGGAAGAGAGATGGGGATCCAGATCAGCTGGATACTGTCCTAGTCCTTGAGCCCCCAGGGCCAAAGATGGTAGACAGGCTATCAGGTTCTGACTTCCTGCGAAGATCTCGCTGGAGTGTTCAGTGTGAGGTGCAACCGGATCAGTGGTCCTAGGGTCATGCCCCTCCCACTCTAAGCTGAATGCACACAGAGGAAGGCCTTCCACAGAGAAGGTCAATTAAGTCCCCAGGGGACCCCAGTGTCCATGACTCATGGTCCCGAAGCTCCCCTCTTCCACGGAGGCTCTTCTCTTCCCTCCCACCCAGCAGAAAAGCCTGGACCCCTGAGTACCAGACAGCTGCCTTGGGTGGGGGTGGACAGACCCTCTGGGGGTTCCAGAAAGCTGCTGGCTCCCAAGGAAGCCCTGTGGTTTCCTACCCTGGCTGAGCAGGGGCTGATGCTGAGGGGGCGTGGTAGGTCCAGGATGCAGGCTGCTCTCAGATAAGAACCTTGAGACGGTCCCAGGGGAGGGCTGGTTTCCTGCTGCCTCCCCCACCCCTACCACACTCTTCCTTCCTCCTGGGGCACTCCCACCAGACCCCCCTTGCCCAGCCTCTCCACCCCCATGGTTTAGCTCCAGCTCAGCCTTGGCAGGTTGGGGCCTAGATCTGAGGCTTGGCCCCTCAGGATGTGAAGAACCCCTTCAGTCCCAGCTGGACCCAGACCGGTCTCAGGCCGCCACCTCTTGGGTTGCTGCACAGACTCCTCCCCTTTGCTCCTCTCCTCTCCCCTCCATTTCTGGCCTAGATTCCCAGCTCTGCCGAGGAAGGAAGTCCCTTTCCGGCTTCTGTTACCCAGCTGCTGGGACCCGGCCCAGGCCTGCAGTGCTGGTCTGCAGGACAGACTCCCTCTGCCCCTTCTCCTGGGTTTCCTTTCTGATTATGATGTGATTTGGGAGGGAGGAAAAGGCTGGGTCACAGAGGGACTCCCGAGGCCTCCTCTGAGACTCGGGTCAACAGGGTCTCCTGTGTTGTCACTCAAGCAGTGAATGGCCTGCAGGTAGGTGTTGGTCAGGAAGTCTGTAGAGATGTGTGTTGTATTCACAGTCGGACAGGACCCATGGATGAAGGGGTGAAGAGATTTTTTTGGGCTCGGGAATAACAGACCTAGAATCTTGGTGGGTTTATTTGGTTGGCCTCAGCACCCCAGTCGCCGATGGTAAGGGGGTGGGAGACTGAGCACCACAGGGTGGGAAGAGTGTCGCTCAGTGAGCTCCATTCCCCAGCTGGAGCACAGGTGACTTCCAAAGTTCCTGTATACCAAAGCTGAGAGAATGGGGTTTAATCAACGCCCTCCCCCGAGAAGTCTCTGTACCCAACTCCCTCCAGAAGGCCCACCCCTGGAGCAATCGGTGATGATGATACAGATAATAAATGCCTAGGAAAGTCAGCGTTTATACAGACCAAGGTTACGTGTATTAGGTGGCTTTTCTTTAGACAGACTTCTGTTTTTTCCCCTGAGCTTTACAAGGACATTTTCCAGGAGCCCAGGTAGTCCCCCCCTTCACTGCCCGCTTCCTCTTATTTCTCTCTCCCCAAGGTTAAGGTATACATCTCCCTTCCCACTGAGTGCCCGGGGTGTTAATGGTCTTGTCCCCCTGTTCCACCAGCAAGCATGCCCTGGGCAGCCACGAGTACATTCAATATTGCCGCAAGTTTGACATCGACATTCGGCTACAGATGATGGAGCTGAAAGCTGTACGCAGTGACCTGGCCCGGACGGTTCGTGCGGGGTGGGGCGGGGGGGGGGGGGTAGTGGATGGCTGCACAGGGATGGGGAGGTGGGGTGGGTAGAAGGTGATACAGAGCACATTCAGTGGGAGTAGGGTAGGAGCGCCGGGTTATGATAAAGGTACCGCTCCTCTCTGAATAGGATGCTTCTTACACAGGTGAATGATGACCAGAGCCCCTCCACCTTGAACTACCTCGTCCATCTGCAAGAGAGGCCAGTCAAACAGACCATCAGCAGGTGAGCGTGGGTGCCATCTTGGATGTGGGCCAAACAGGAACTGGGAGGGGACCCCAACGGATAACTTGCTTGCCTTTCTGCCAGTGCCAGGGGTTCTTACAGGTGTCTGGGATGAGACCCAAGAGTATTCTAGGAGGAGATCCCCACTCTAGGGTGTGTTACATCTCTTCCCTCTAGTACTTTGCCATCATTCTCCAGGTGAGGGGTGGTGAACCTATAGAAAGAGTGGGAACCCCTTTAAACTAGAGCCTGAATCCTGAGCTGTGGGGAAGGAGGGAGAGAATGGGTCTCCCAGTACCTTGGGCCTGTCCTGACCTCTCCTATGACTTTTCCCTGTCCCCAACTCCCCAGGCAGGCCCTGGATCTTCTGTTCGACACATACCATAATGAAGTGGATGCTTTCCTGCTAGCTGATGTGAGTATCCATCGTGGGGCTGGCCCAGCTGCCCAGAGCTCCTCCCCTGCTTTCCCAAAGTCATCCTGGGATCAGCCAGCCCTAAAGGGATCTGGAGTAGACATTGAAGATCTATCAGCAGAGCACTTCTTCCCATTCCCCTAGCCCATGGGCAAACCAAGGCTGCTGGCTGTTGGGCAGTTGGCAAGAGGGGTTCTGCTCCTCTGTGGAAGCAGGTCAAGAACCATGCCCTGATCCCTGTCTCCGGAGTAGGGCGTCTCCAAAGCTAAGGGACATAGAGATGTCCCCCCGGCTCCTGTACTTGAATGTGCACCAGAATGTGCATCCTATGAGCAATGCCCAGGAACCTCTGATTTGAGACGCTCTGATGTGCTGGAGTCACAGGTAGGAAACCGTCAGGAGGTGAAGGGTCCCAGAGGTAGGCAAGGGCCGGGACTCTCCTCACTTGGATTCTCGTGGAGTTTTAAGCTGCGAAACCATGTGAATAAACATTTGCCCCAAATGTCATGAAGGTTTTAAAAAAAAAAGGACAGCGATCTTCAAAACTAATCCCTATCTCATGGTTCCAGTGCACAGTGGTCATGGACTCTTGCCTTTGGGGGAGTTGAGCATTATGTGTAGCTCAGTCCTCCACCCACCACCGGAATCCCTTCTCCGGCAGCCTCTCCTCCATGCCCACGTTTACCGGGATGAGCGGGAAGGTCTCTGAGCACCTTTTGTGTATGAGTCTGGCTCTATGTCAGTGGCTGCTGTGGGTAGAGAAGCATAAAGATTGTCTTAGCCTTTAGGGAGTGTGTGTTCCTGCTAGCAAGACAGGATAGTAACACAAGGCTGTTAGTAGACAGAACAGGGTGGTTATGAGTTCATCACGGGCTCTTGGAGAGGGATAAGAAGACCGGCCAGGGGGCTGTGAGAAGGAGCTGGGTGTTCGCCGGTCCATGATTTGAACTTCCGTAGGTAATCAGGACAGGACAGGTGAGGTGATTCCGAGTGAGAAAACTGCAGGAGGCCAAGTGCAGAGGAGAACGCATGGGTGTGGCCTGCCTGTGGTGCCTTGGCATCCCCCTGGAAGGTCTAGGTGACAATAAGAGTTGTAAGGCGGCCTGGGCAAAGGGGCCTGAATATGGTCTCCAGCTTCCTTGCTATTCCCTATGGATTGGTTTTATTAAAACTGCATGTCTCTGGGGGATGTATGTGTGTTATGTGTTTGTACAGTAGCTGCCAGAGGGAGTCTGGGAATCAGAGGAGGTTCAGGGAGGATGGGCGAAAGACCTAGAAGCCTGGGCATGGCTCATCTAATTCAAGAGGAGCGATTGTTTGCTAATGCTGGATGTTTGAAAATCAAGCATGGGAGTCCACTCTTACTCCTGAGGGTCATGAAGCCCTACTCCCCACAACCCGTTCCTTCAATAGTGTGGGTGCTGGGGGCTGAGAGTGCTCGCCTACCAGCCTCGCTGTGCCGCCTCCCATAGGGGGATTTCCCACTGAAGGCCGACAGGGTGGTCCAGTCCGTCAAAGCCATCTGCAACGCCCTAGCCGCCGTGGAGACCCCTGAGATCACCAGCGCCCTCAACCAGCTGCCCCCCTGCCCCTCCCGTATGCAGCCGAAAATTCAGAAGGTAACGGGGCTCAGAGCGCTAATGTGGGGGAGGAGGAGAACAGTAGTCACAGGTAGCTGGGTGACGAGGTGCCCACTTACTCAAAAGGTCCTCTCTCCACCTCCATCTTGCAAGTTTGGAATTTACCACAAGAGTTCTTGTGTCCCCTTTTCCTGAGGATGAGGGCAGTTGAGGGTCCGCCCCGGCACTGATTGCGAGGAACCCGGGCTGGCAAAGGCTTTATTCATCATCACCGAGGCATTGCCTGGTGCTTTGCATACCCGTCAGGGTGCAAAACCAAACTCTCCCCTGAGCCAGGGGCTCTGGGACTCCACAGTGGGGGCCGCATGCTGAACACACAGGGCCAGCAAGGTAGCCACCGTGACCTGGGCTGGAGTGGCCCGAGGGTGGGAGTGTCTCATTTGGGTGGACACGACTTTAACCTTGGTCTGGCTCCCTCTGTCCATCACGTGGCTCTGGTATAAACCGTGATGCGGTCTTCTCTGGGGATTCTCTCTCTGCGCCTCACATTTCAGGCCAGTCTGGTCCAGATGAGCACAGCTGTGGAAAGCCCTTCTTCCAGCTATGCCAAAAAAGGCCACAGCCCTGAAGCTCCCCTCCCTCTCCTTTTCCCCCAATAGGATCCCACTGTCTTGGCTGTGAGGGAAAACCGAGGTAAGGGAACTCCTCTCTGTCTTTATTCAGCGGGGGCAGCTGAAAATAGGTCTCTGCCCAGATTCCTTTTTCTCCCTGGCCCTTTGATTTATGGGTCCAGGTCTGCGTGCGTGTGTGTGTGTGTGTGTGTGTTTTCCAGCTGGAGAGCACATTTCTTTCCACAAAATGTTTTCTCATTATTTTTACTAGTTATTCCTGTGGTGTCCCTGGGAGATGGTGATGAGGCGATATACGTGGGAGGCTGGGGGTGGTGAGGCAAAATTAGCCCTGGGCTCCAGAGGAGAAAACTCTCACTAGGGTAGGGCTGTCATTATTCTTCAGGAGGCTCATGACACCTGTATTTCCAACTCAGAATGGGCCTGGGGAGAAGGTGATAAAGAATTTTTTACTAGGAGTGAGTCTTTCAAGCGGAACTTTGCTCTCTGGGATTCTTGGTCAGTGATTCCCAGTCTTTTGGATTCCATGAATTAATAACCTGCCCCACAATGCATTATTTTATTTCATTTTATTTTAAAGATTATTTATTTATTTGAGAGAGAGAGAGAGAGCACAAGCAGGGGGAGTGAGAGCAGAGGGAGAGGGAGAAGCAGGCTCTCCGCTGAGGAGCCTGATGCGGGGCTCGATCCTAGGACCCTGGTATCATGACCTGAGCTGAAGGCAGATGCTTAACCGACTGAGCCACCCAGGCACCCTGAACAAAGCATTTATTTTAAGGACCAACATAGAAATTGTCTGCTTTTCTTTTGCCAAGCAATGACTTTTAAATGATCATTTAATGATGATTTCCCACTATTTCCCAAAAGAAAAGACATTTTAACACAAAATAAGTAGCCCTATGTAAAAATAAGGAGAATGTTTAAAATTGAGTGTTGGGCGCCTGGGTGCCTCAGTCGGTGAAGCATCTGCCTTCAGCTCAGGTCGTGGTCCCAGGGTCCTGGGATCGAGCCCCGCATCAGGCTCCCTGCTCCGCGGGAAGCCTGCTTCTCCCTCTACTCCTCCCTCCTGCTTGTGCGCGCATGCACTCTCTCTCTCTCTCTCTCTCTCTCTCTCTCACGCTCTCTTTCTCTCTCAAAGTCTTTGTAAAACAAAACCAAGGAGACCCTGATATTTAAAACGGTAATAATAAAATTGAGTATCGTTTTGTGAGAAGCTCATGACATGATTCTGCTCTTTCCCCCTCATTTCACCAATGGCTGGGTGAACCTTGTCGTGGCTGTTGGAAACCGACTGGCATTTGGGGACTACTGCCCTGGGGTACACCATCCTCCCCAGTGCCATGGCAACAGGATGGGGCGCGCTGAGCCCTTGTGACCTTTCCTTCTGACCCGTTCCTTTCACAGAGAAGGTTGTGGAAGCTCTGACGGCCGCCATCTTGGACCTGGTGGAGCTGTACTGCAGCACGTTCGATGCGGACTTCCAGACGGCCGTGCACGGGAGCCGCAAGCACGATCTGGTCCAGGAGGCCTGCCATTTCTCTGGGCCCCTGGCCTTCACTGTCTATGCCACCCACCGCATCCCCATCACCTGGGCTACCAGGTGAGCCCAGGGCTGAATGTCCTCCAGGGAGCGAGCGGAGTGTGACTTTCAGATGGCTTCTCCCTGTCTGCGTGCAACCCCACTGTCCTGAGTGGACGGTCTGAGGCATTGTGGTGCACCAAGGGCCTGATGGTGGGGGACTGTGGGCAGGGACATCCCAAGGAGAGGCAGGAGGTGCCCTGGGATCGGAGAGGAGGCTGCAGTGGTCAGATCCTGCCAGGCCCCCTCAGAGCTGGTTGCATCGGCATCCCTGCCCCCCACCCGTCCCAGGCCAGCTGATGGAGACACTGCGACAGATGGCGGCTTCCCAGATTCAGTGCCTGCCCCAAGGCCAATGACTGCACTTCCCTGCAGATGCACAATGGGAGGGGGGTGGGGAGGTGGGAGATGACCCTTTGTGGGCAGTTCCCTAGGCCTGCACGGGTGGGTGGAGGGGGAGCCTTCATTTGGTAATCCTCAGCTCCTCCGCCTGGTCCCTGGCATCCAGGGCCTGGGGGAAAAGGCATTTGGCTCCACCTCCCTCCTTTCCGGACCCCCCCCCCTTCCCCCTCTCTCTTTGTTCCTCACTTAATGTATTCCCCTGGGCAATTGGCGGAGAACAAAGGAGGCAGCCTGGGAAACCAGGGCCTCCTCTGACCTCTTCTGTCGGGCACCTGTCACGAGCCACAGGGACCCCCATGTGTTGGCATTCACGTCGGCATATGTCGATTTCATCCCCCCCACCCTTGTCTCTTGTGCATGCGCACACAGGCACCCACCAACTGTAAGAAGGCGGCTGTGCGGGCTGGTCCCCAGTAAAGGGAGGAAAACCGTGGGCCCAGCATGGAGCCTGAAGGTGGGCGGAGGGATCCAGATCCAGTTGCTTCTCCTGAAGCTTTCTCAAATCCACTTTGACTTTTGTGTCCCGTGACCCCATGCTCTGGCCCCCAGGGAACAGGGAGGAGTCCTCACAGGAGAAATGGAGCTTGGCATAGGCTGGGTGACTGTGATGGGGTTTGGAAGCTGAGCGTCCTTCTTCTCTTTCTGTTGTAGCTATGAAGATTTCTACCTCTCCTGCTCCCTCAGCCATGGCGGGAAGGAACTCTGCAGCTCCTTGTACACCCGAAGGGCTCACTTTTCCAAGTACCTCTTCCACCTCATCATCTGGGACCAGCAGTAAGCCCTCCCCCTGGGCCCTGGGCCGCCCCTGCAGACCCCACAGAGGGGCCCACACCTGCAGTACACCAGGCCCCACCACGAACCCTACCTACACAGACCCTCAGCCTCTTGAGTCTCCGTTTCCTTAACCCTTAGATGGGGTCAAGTACCATTTCTAATGCACAAAGGCTCTCTCTGTAAACCATAAAGGATCGTATAAAAGTTCGTGGTTGGCTTTCATAATAATTCATCGTCTTGATCTTGTCTCCTTTTAAGGTTTAACTAGCTTGAGGGATTCTCATCCTCTCCCTTCTTCCCAAAGTTTCCATCTAATACGGAGAGGGGTTGTGCTTTTTTCCTTCTAGGAGGGAAAGGGCAGGTTGTCCAGAGGAAAGAAGAGTGGGCTGGGAGCCACAGGAATAAGCCTCTCTTTCTAGCTCTGTCTCTAGTCCTACATTCTCTTTGGCCTCTCTGTGCCTCAAACTGTAAAGTGGGGCCAATTGTTTAATTCAGAGGCCATTGTGGCATTGAAATGAGATAGAGTATAAATATAAGTATGAAACCACAAGCACAAGGTGGTAGTAATCAGCATTTATTACCAGCATTTGCTGTCGGGAAGGTAGGCGTCTGCCAGGCAGGGCAGGAGGGAAATGGAGGCAAGCACGTGTCGGCGGGGAGGCACTGCAGGTGTGTGCCCGCCCTGTGCCCTTTCTGTGCTGTGCCCTGCCCTTCCTCCAGACTGCCAGAAAGCCCCTTGTTTGCTGCCCCCAGCTTCACTTCCCCAGACTGGCTGTGTCTGAGTCCTTATTTGCAGAGCAGAACTAGAACTTCAATATTTGGAGTGCAGATTAGAGGCCGAGCAGGGTCCTCGGGGAGGCCAAGATTGCCAAAATAGGCCGAGGCAGAGTCTGTGCAGGCACTGCGAGAGGTGGGGTATTTAACAGACGGACAGCTGGGAAGGCAGGCCCTTCTCCTGTCTTCACACCTGTGTAAGTTACAGAGTAATAAAGCGGTACATAAAGCTTTCATCAAACAACCACTGGGGCCGGAGAGACTCTTTGGAGGCAGGGGATGGCTGCCTCCAATGGCTTTGGAGTTTCACCATCACCTTCCGCCCCGTGGGCCTCGATGACTTCGCTGCCAAGGGGGTCGTGCAATCAAGTGCTCCAACCCAGGCAGACCCCACAACATTGGCCCAAGCCTCTCTTCCCATAGAGTCTCAGCGGCATAGAGCCTGGCCTGGCCTGGCCTGCCCTACCTCGGCCTGCCTGCTCTGTGGGTCTCCTTCCACTCCCTGTCTTAGATTCAGCCTCGAATCCCAAAGGGCTGGTCCCTGCCTAGAGCCTGTGGAGATTTCCTCTCCGCGCTCCCCATCCCCATGCCCCACAGAGGCTCGTGGCACCTTCATGGTCAGGATCATGGCATCTGGGAGAAGACGCTACAGTGTAGGGTTCAGAGCACGGGCTTGGGCGCACTCACCCTAACTATAGGTGGAACCTTGGGAAGTAATAGGGCCTCACTTGTAGGGCCGTGTGAGAACTTCTGGGACATTGCAAGTAAAGTGCATGGCACAGTAGCCAGCATGTGATAAATGCTTTCTTCTTCATCCTTGTCATCTTTTTAGCTGGGGGAGCCTTCTCAGTTCCGGTTTCCCTGTTCCAAGTGACTGACACAGTGACTGGTACACGGAGATATTTGTGCATGCAAATCCTATTTGCATAGCCCAGTTCCAGTGCAGAAGCCTCAGTGTTCCGTAGCAAAAAGCACACAATGTGTACACACATCACACAAGTGAAGCTGTGTTCCGCTCTCCACTGAGGAGGAACCCAGGGTCGAGGTGTGCACCGTTCTGAGGTTGCGAGTAGCAAAACCAGGACTGGAACCGGCACATCCCAGGAGTCCTTCCTGGAGGAGGTGGCCCTTGTGATGTGACGTTGAGGAATGGCTGCAGAGGGAAGGAGAGGGGTTTCTCAGGCAGGGAGGAGGTTCAGGCTGCAGTCAGTATACTGGTTATCCTGACGGACCCCGGATGATGGTCTGTGGGAGAGGTTTTGGAATGCTAGATGGACTCGAGGACTGAGGAGAAGGGGATCCTGGCTGGTTCTAAGGGTTGTGGCTTCCTATTCTCTTTGCCTCCGGATGCACAGCCAGAAGCCTCTTCTGGGCTGACAAGAGAGGGGTCAGCACCAGCCCCCTCTCCACTTTGCTGTGGGGTCAGCTGACTGTCCTGCCTCCGCAGTACTGGGATCAGCTCACTCTCAAAATAGGCCCAGCGGCTGCGCTCTGCCATCCACTAGCCAAGCCCGGGCCTCGCATGTCTGCTGACTGCTGGAGGGGCCCTAATTATAGCCGTGGGCGCCCAGGGTACAGCAGCTGGGACAGCAGGGCTCTGCCAGTCTCTGGCGGGTGGGAGGGAGTGCCTCACTTAGGTGGAGACTTTCCTGCAGGAGTGAGGGGCAGCAGTGGAGGGAGGCTGCTTGATCGGGGGGCCCCTCAGAACCTTGGGGGTGGCCGCCCTGCCTCTGTGCCCTCTGGCGTAGAAACTGCCCTGGGCTGGCCAGGAGGGCGTGACAGTGTGGACTTTGGCCCAGGGACAGCTTCCCCAGAAGGTAATGTGGGTCCTCCCTCGCTTTCCACAGCTCCCCTCCTCTCTTTCCCTCACCCCACCCCAGCTCCTTTTCCTGAGCTTGGAGGGAGTGGCTGGGCGTGACCTGGGCAGAGGAGCCCCCGGAGAACACATCTGGACTGGGGTGGTGGCAAGGCTTACGTGTCTCAGTTCTTATCATCGCTGGCCAGTTTGCTTGCTCTCCCCCCAGGGACTTTGGGAAGCCCCTTCTCTTTAACCCTTTGGTTTTGAAAATGTTTTTGGGGTGACAGCAGACCATGTTGTGCCCTGGGGGTTGAGAGAAGAAGGGGACAGGAGAGGACAGACAGTGGGAGGACTATTGGGGGAGGGTGGCCTGAGGGCAAAGAACACCCTGCTGCCTCTTCCTCCTTGCTTTTTCAGCCTGGGAAGTGGGGGAGGGATGAGGATTGTCAAGAGGACTTGCAGCTTCTTGGTGACCCTCTGCAGAAATCCTGAAACCGGGGGCGTGTGGCTTCACTATGGGACCTGTAGTCGTCGGAACTCTGAGATGGCTCTGGCTACCCAAGTTCTGTCTGGTCACCGCGGGTGGCCCCCAAATCGGGATGTTAGGCCCACTGTACTGAGAGGCTGCAGAGACAGCACAGTGTGCTTCTGGGCGCATCCCGTGGAGGTTGCGCCTACCGTTTGGGACCTGTCCTGGTTCCAGGCTTCCCCAGGGAGCACATCTGATATCCCGAGAGGCAGGTCGAGTTCTCAGCCTCCGCTCGGCTTCCTGGGCCATCTGTCCCTTGACGCCACAAGGGTGGCACCTCCTGACTTGGTTTCCTGTCCTCCCCAGGATCTGCTTCCCCGTGCAGGTGAACCGGCTGCCTCGGGAGACCCTGCTCTGTGCCACACTCTACGCTCTGCCCATCCCCTTGCCTGGGAGCTCCTCCGAGGCCAATAAGCAGCGGCGTTTGCCGGAAGCCCTGGGCTGGGTCACTACCCCACTCTTCAACTTTAGGCAGTACGTGGTTCCCACGCCAGTGGCTTCTTGGCCTTGGAAGGGAAGGAGGGGGATAGAGGGGCCTGGTGCTGCGCTGGCCAGTGCCCCTTGGGACAGTTGGCCACGTGGGGCTCACCCACAGAGTCCAGAGGGCCCTAGCTGGGGGACCAAGGCACAGGAGTAGAGACCAGGACAGGTGATGTAACCAAGAGCTTCTGGGCAGGATGGGGCTGGGGGCGGTGTGTGCATGCGTGGAAACAGAGTGCTTGGGTAACGTCATCTGGCCCTGTCACTGGAAGGGCCTTAGAGGTCATCTAGTCCACCTCTCTGCCTCATGGGGCATCCCCACCACCAGGTCATCCAGAGGCTTCCTGGAGGGGGTGTGCTTTTATAGGACCTGGAAGAAGGAAGAGCCTGTGATCTAAGAATGACAGAGTTGGGTGGTTGTTTCAAAGGCAGATTTTTGGATGGGGGAGCAGGAGGAAAACCATCGTGTTTGTTGGCTCATTCCCCTCCCCTCCATTCTCCTTAGAGTCCTGACCTGTGGTCGGAAGCTTCTGGGCTTATGGCCAGCAACACAGGAAAACCCCAGTGCCCGTTGGAGCGCACCTAATTTCCACCAGCCAGATAGCGTCATCCTGCAGGTGAGACCCCAGCCCCAGGACCCTCCCTCCTACCCGCTGCTCAGGACTGCCCAAGAGCCAGCTCTGAGTCTTCTGCCTGAAGGTTTGGGCTAGGAAGTAAGAGAAATTGCTGACACGTTGGGCACAGGGCCCTGATGTGATGGAAGCAAACGGGTGAATTTGGTTGGACCCGGGGTGGGAGGGTGAGTTCTGTGGAATCTGTGTGCCATCTCCTGGGGGTTAACTTTGATTTCAAGGAGGCCGAAGGCAGGGCCTGAGCACCTGTACCGCCCCCCCCCCCCCCGGCTCCCCGCCCCGGGCTCAGCAACTTGGAATCCTTTGTATTGAGCCCATGTATTACTGAGTCTGATAAAATTTGAGCTGTCCCCTCTTGGGGCCTGAGGGGAAACCCCCCGTGCAGCCAGCCACCCAGTCGCTCCCGGAGTGGACCCACCCTCTGGGGAGAGGAGGAGCTGGTCAAGCCCAAGGTCTAGTTACTGCTTTCTGGCTCCCCTTTCTTATGATCATGAGATGCTTTGGAATGGAATCTGGAATATCAAAGTGGACATAGCATGCAATAGAATGATACAGAATGAAAGCTCCAGAGGCAGGCATTTTTGTCTCTCGTAATTAACAAGACTCAATGCCCAGGACCTAGAACATTGCTTGGCAACGTATCAGGGTTCAATAAATATTTGTTGATTGAGGGAACATAGGACCCACTCCGCTCTGATACCCGACTTCATAGGATGAAGATCCTAGAGCAAGGGCATCCGGGGCCACAGGGTTGAGAGTCGGGAGGGCCCTCACCTGGCATGTGGTCCCACTTCCCATCAGGCAGCAGTGCCTTCCAGGGCCACCCTTGAAGGCTCCCTGGCCTCAGCTTGGAGGTTCCCAGTGGCTCAGCTTGGTGACACTTCTGTTCAAAGTTCTGGCCTGGGGCCGGGCCCCCCCCCTCACCTGGCTACATCTCCCCCCAACCTCTTTCTCACTTGCCCATTCTCCTCTCACTCTCTCTGTTTCCTTCTCATTTTTTGCTGGAAGTGACAATTGGAAGGGGCTTTCCCCAGAGTCCCAAGTTCCCACGAAGTCCAAAGGGGTATTTTACAAGCAACCTGCAGGGAAGGAAGGGAGGGAAGAAGGCAGGACCTCCGGCCTGAGACGGAGGTGCTGGAGAGCCGGGAAGGTGGCGGCTCACCTTCTCACTCACTCACTGCCTGTCCTCTCTCCCCACTTCTCTGACGCTATCCCCCAGATCGACTTCCCCACCTCAGCCTTCGACATCAAGTTCACCAGCCCCCCTGGAGACAAGTTCAGCCCCCGCTATGTGTTTGGCAGCCTCCGGGAGGAAGACCAACGGGTGCTTAAGAACATCATGCAGAAGGAGTCCTTGTACTGGTGAGGCCCGGGGCCTTCCCCGTGTGTGGCTCAGGCCCCAGTCTGTCTGACCTCTCACCCGCCAGCTCCAGGTTCCCGCCCTCCTGCTTTGGGAGTAGAGATGGGATGGGGTGGGCATTGCCACGGAGGCAGGACGCGGTGGAGAGAGGGCTCTGCTGGGGCAGCCTCCAGGCTTCTTCTCCTGAGCTGACACTAGGCAGAGTGGTGAGACCGGGGTCAGGAGATTGATTGGATCTAGGAATGCCCATCCCCACAATGGGGACCTGGCCCAGACTCGGCTTGCCAGAGGACCCACACCCCAGATATGCTGTCTACTACTCGCTATCCATGGGGGCAGATGGTTCCTGTCCTTACCACCCTGCCCCCACCTCCTGCCCCTTCCACACCCACAGCCTTTGCATTTCTCTGGCCCTGTCACTTTCCAAAAAGGATCAGGTGTCGGGGCAGGCCGGCAGCTCTCAAGGGTAAGCAAATCCAAGCTGATGTCATCCTTGGGGCTGCTTCTCTTACCAGGATTGGAGGGGGAGGGGAGTTGGAGGAGCTGGTGGGATGGGGGCTCCTGCGCTGCCTGCTTGTGTGTGTGTGTGTGTGTGTGTGTGTGTTGGAGGGGGCAAGGGAGATGGGGCTCATCCCCACCCAAGGAGCCAGCGTAGCTGAGTGACTACAGATCCCCCTGCCTGCACTCCTCTGCTGACCCCTTGCTTCATTAGCCCCTCAGCTCCCTTCTCCCATTAGACACCTGATCTCAGGCAAGGCTTAATTCGCTGTGGCTTCTATAAAACCTCCAGCTGGCCCGGGAAAGCCCCAGAGGCTTCTCAGCCATCCAGACCCGGACATGTGGGGACCACTGCCCTCTGGTGGCTTGTCTTGAGAGAGGCGCTCTAAGGGCATCCGCAGGAGGGGTGGCAGACTGGGTGCCCTTGACCTGTGCATTCTGCCTCAGTCTGAGATGTCCCCTGAGATGTCAGGATCAAAAATAAGATTTGGGCCCTGGTGCCCAAACGTTGCTTCACACATTGCAGTCACCTGGGGATCTTTTAAAAATACCACTGCCTGGTTTCCCCAGACATCCTGACTCCCTTGGTGTCGGTGTGGCCCGGGCATGGGGACTTTATAAACCTCCCCAGGTATTTGTCATGTGCAGCAAAGTTTGGGAAGCACTGAACTGGAGAATGTGTAGCATTCTTTTGGAGAGTAAGTTCCCTACCCTGTGGCTGACAGTGCTCTCGCTCACCTCCCCTGCAACCCCCACCCGCAGGCTCACGGATGCTGATAAGAAGCGCCTGTGGGAGAAGCGATACTATTGCCATTTGGAGGTGAACTCCCTCCCCCTGGTGCTCGCCAGCGCCCCCAGCTGGGAGTGGGCTTGCTTGCCCGACATCTATGCTCTCCTGAAGCAGTGGACCCACATGAATCACCAGGATGCCCTGGGGCTCCTGCATGCCACGTGAGTTGTAACACCCACCTTTCCTTGACCACGAGTCCTTCCAGAAGCCAAGGCTTGGCACTGCGCACCGCTAGCCTGAGCCAGCCCTGGGGAAAATGGTAAAGTGGACTAGGAAATTCAGGGCATCTTCGCTTCTTTTTTGCTTTTTCTTTGCCTCCTTTCCCCACGGTGTGACATTAGGAACATTTTCCAAGCATACTTGGAAACCAAAAACTTTACAGTGAACATCCATGTACCCGCTACCTAGATTCTAACCATTTTAACTATTTGCTATATTTGCTTTCTTGCGTGTATATCCCTCTATCCAACCGTCAATATCCATCTTATTTTTTTTAATACATTTCAGTGTAAGTTGCAGACATCATACCTCCCTCTAAATACGTCAGCGTATATATATCATTAACTAGAACTCAATGTTTGCTTGTTTGTTTTTTCTTTTGAGGGAAAATTTACATATCAGGAAATGCCTACGCCTTACTTGTACGTTGGCTGAGTCTTGACAAGTGCACACCCCTGGGTGACCCAAACCTTACCACTTAGTTCGACTTGAACAGCCCTCTCTTCCCTCTTTCCTTCGGAAGGGTTCTCTGGGGACTTGCTCCTCCCAGTTTCAGACCCCGGGGCTGCCTTTTCCAGATGGTACCCAGTATTCTTGGCTTCTTTCTTGCTGCTCTTGGTAATTAAACTGTACGTGATCCATGTGTCTTGCCTTCCGGACTTTTTGAGACCACATTTTTGCTAATCTCTGCTCAGCTAAACTCTGCCATGGGGTACTGGCTTAGATAAAACTCCATGATTCTCTATTCTCCACCTGGCTGGCTTTGCATTAAAGGATGGTACCATCATGTTTTAATCCACATAAGGGCTCTTCGGTGACAGGAATTTCTAGCACAGTGGGAGTTGAGGAAAAGATTTTCAGGAATGGGGTTGAAGACTTTGTCCAGTTTTCTTTAACTCATACAAGGAATGGAAGTGGCCACCGTCCTGTTCCTCCGTGGCCCCATGCCAGCTCTGACCAGGGGACAGGGCCGTTCTTAAGGGTTGCTGTCCAGACAAGGAGCTAAGGATTCTTCTAGTGGCTTTGGCAGACTCTGAGGGACCTTGCCTTTTCTCCCGCCGTGTCTCTGAAGCCCGGCTGTGAGGGTGCTGGCTCACTCCTGGGCTGCAGAGCCTACAGCTGGGGAGTCAGGGGGCTGGGCTCTGTTTTGCAGCTTCCCGGACCAGGAGGTGCGACGGATGGCCGTCCAGTGGATTGGCTCGCTGTCGGACGCTGAGCTCCTCGACTACTTGCCTCAGCTTGTGCAGGTGGGCGGACCGGCCTTCCCTCCAGTTCTGAGGATCCCTCCCCCGGCCCCAAGTCCGTGTGCATTCTCCTTGTAGAGCCCAGGGTCCCCAGTGGGATAGTGGGAGGTGTAGCTGACAGGCAGGCCATATAGCCTTCTCTTTCCCCTAAACAGGCCCTGAAGTACGAGTGTTACCTGGACAGCCCCTTGGTGCGCTTCCTCCTGAAACGAGCCATCTCTGACTTGAGAGTGACTCACTACTTCTTCTGGTGAGCTGTGTGTGCAGAGGTGGAAGGCAGACATGCGTCCTCGGCTCAGGAGTATTTTACTCTTTGGTGGGCAAGGATGGGGAGCTGAGCCGTCGGGGTTCCAGGACGTTGCTGACTTACCGTGTGGCTGCAGGCTAGCACTGTTCCCCGCCCCCCCGGGGGGGGGGGTGTCAGTCCCCAGGGGACAATGAGGATTATCCCTGGCCCTCCTTTCCATCTACACTCGGCAGAGATAGAAAGGAGAAGGGAGCCACAGAGGGGCTTTGAGCTCTAAATCAAGGCAGAGTGGGCACAGACTGGGATCCAGATGAACACCTCTGTATGAGCTATGCATACAGAGTCTATTTTTCCCTCCCGGGCTTGGGAGGGGTTTTCCGGGGAGCTGGAGCAGCGTCTGACCCCTCCCCGCCATTCCACACACCCTTGCTGGTGATCCCAAGTGTCCCGACCCCCCCCCCTCCCTTTGCCTTGCAGGCTCCTGAAGGACGGCCTCAAAGACTCTCAGTTCAGCATCCGCTACCAGTACCTGCTGGCAGCCTTGCTGTGCTGCTGTGGCAAAGGGCTGAGAGAGGAGTTTAACCGCCAGTGCTGGCTCGTCAATACCCTGGCCAAGCTGGCCCAGCAGGTCCGAGAGGCCGCCCCGTCTGCGCGGCAGGTGAGGGGGGCGGAGCCGCCTCTACCCGTTTCTGGTCTCGGGCTTTTGTAACCAGCCGTTAATTCCTTCGACGTCCTCAACGGCAGGATGGCACTTGACCGTCTCTGATTTAAGGACTGGAAGGAAGGAACTCTGTCTCTAACCTACAGGCCACAAAATGACAGTCTGCAGACTGGATACAGTTTTGGTTAGCCTGCAGAGTGTTACCGTTTTAACTGTTTGCTTTAAAGGCTAAGCACATTTGTAAAAGTTGTTCACTGCACAAGGGCACCCAGCCAGAGAGGGCAAGTGTGGGCTGAAATCCAGTCCTACTTTGTTCAGTATGCTGTGAGCCATAGCTCAGGGCTACTGTTACCCAGAGTGGAGACCTTTACTGTTTGTACAACCGGCTGTATAAGGCCAACAGTGTTCCCGGTTACTAACATTTAAAAACTGGGAGAATTGGGGCGCCTGGGTGGCTCAGATGGTTGGGTGTCTGCCTTCGGCTCAGGTCATGATCGAGCCCTGCGTCGGGCTCCCTGCTCAATGCAGAGCCTGCTTCTCCCTCTCCCTCTGCCATTCCCTCTGCTTGTGCTCTCTGGCTCTGTCTGTCTATCTGTCAAATAAATAAATAAATAAATCTTTAAAAAATAAATAAATAAAAATTGGGAGAATCTAGGGGCACCTGGGTGGCTCAGTTGGTGAAGCGTTTGCCTTTGACTCAGGGTCATGGTCCCAGGGTCCTAGGGTCAAGCCCCACATCGGGCCCCCTGCCTAGCGGGGAGCCTGCTTCTTCCTCTGCCCCTCTCCCACACGCCCCCACCATTCATGCTGTCTCCCTCAAATAAATAAATAAAATCTTAAAAAAAAAATTGGGAGAATTTAAAGTCCAGATTGTTGGCTTTTCTTGGCAACAGCCTGAGCAGCACCGCCCCCTTGAGATGCACCGGCTCTCTCAGTTCATTGTGGCCTGCCTCACACTGTGGTGTCATCTGCCTCACCTCTGTAAGCTGTCTGGGCTTGCTGCCCATGCACTGTCCCGGGCGCGACACCCCAGGCCGGGGTAGTTTTCCTTCTTCACGGTCTCCTGGGGGTTGTTCACACTTCTCCGATGGTGGTTTTCATCCCAGCCATTCCAGGGGCGCCCACCCCTGGGAGAGGCCTGGTTCTGAGTAGAGCCCATGGGCACCCCCCCTCACCCCTACTCGCCTTCTCCCCTCCCTCTCAGGGGATCCTCCGCACGGGCCTGGAGGAGGTGAGGCAGTTCTTTGCCCTGATCGGCTCCTGCCGCCTGCCACTCAGCCCTAGTCTGCTGGTTAAGGGCATCGTGCCCAGGGTGAGTGACTGGTGGGGTTGGGGCTCTCGGGGCAGGGAGGGCGCAGTGGAGGCGAGGTCCTACCACCCTGGTTATTGAGAGGAGGAAGAGAGGCATATTCGGGGCCTCTTTCCAGACCTAGTGTGTATGGACTTTTGACTGACAGCTGTGCAAGGTGGAGGAATGGGGTCGGGGGCTGGGTAAGTGTCTCCCCTGATGACACAGGGGGCTGGTGACAATGACCATAACTGTCATCTGTCACCACCGAGTGCCGCACTGTTCTGAGTGCTTGACGCCAGTCATTGCATCTTACACTCACAACTCTTACGAAGTTGGTCCTGTTGGAAGCCCCATTTTACAGAGGAGTAGACTGAGGTATCGATGGAAATCATATCCTAGTAGGTTCTATGCCGAAGCACTGAAGGGATGAAAGCAGGCCCCGGAGCCGAGGCTGTAACAGACTGGCACAGGGGAAGGAAGGAGCGTGGGCTCCTGAGGAATCTGGCAGGAACTACGAGCAGGTGGACTGGCGGCAGCAGCTTGACCCACGGTGCAGAGGCCATTTTCCTTCCCTTGTCACTACCCTCTCTCCCGTGGCAGGACTGTTCCTACTTCAACTCCAATGCTGTCCCCCTCAAGCTGTCCTTCCAAAATGTGGATCCACTGGGCGAGAATATCCGTGTCATCTTCAAGGTGAGGACACTTCATAAACCTGGTGTGATGATGAAGGTGGTAGAGGGGAGAGGAGGAGGGGGTTGAAGGGTGGCAGGTGCAGCCCCAGGGTAGGTCTCTTGCTGTTACTCCGTGCTACTATTTGCACATGTGAAAGATGATCAGGTGACCAAGGAAAGAGACTAATTCTCTGTGGCCCCAGCGGGCTAGGAACAGAATGTTGGCAGGTGTAGCAAGGCATTCACTGTTGGGATAGAGTGCTTTCTAGGAGGCTGAGCTATCCCAACAGTGAATGGATACAGTGGCAATCTGCTTGTACCCCAGGGTATTCAAGCAGAGGTTGGCCGCACGGCAGCAGTGTTGAAGAGGAAATTAAGAGAGCAGGTGCAGGTTGGACTAGGTGAACCCTAAGGTCCATCCTAACTGATGCAAGACATGCGTGATTCTGAGAAGTAAACTGTAGTCTGAGAGCATGTAATCTAGCGGGGGAGAGGAGATGCATGGATGCCACCGTGTAATGTATATATTGGCTGTGCGTCAGTTCCAAATTCAAGGTATAAACACTCAAGTTTTAAATAAAAAATCTTGACAATCAGGAATCTAAATTCAGTTCAGATGGGATGTGGGGTTGAAGAAAGAGCCGGAACACCGCAAGGGCAAATGTGATGGCTGGCCCACCTCTGGTCCTTTGACCTGGTGTGAGCCGAGATGGGAGGTGGGAAAACTGGGCAGTCCCCTGTCGTTGTTTGGGCCAAGGTGGCTCTCTTGTAGCATCTGGGAGCCAGGGGAGGCAATGGAGATGAGCTCTGGTCACTTTCTTCATCCAGTGTGGGGACGACCTTCGCCAGGACATGCTAACCCTGCAAATGATTCGCATCATGAGCAAGATCTGGGTGCAAGAGGGGCTGGACATGCGCATGGTCATTTTCCGCTGCTTCTCCACTGGCCGGGGGAGAGGTCAGTTGGGAATGGGGGAGGGGGGCTGTGAGGAGGCAGCTGGCGTGGAGGGCACCTCTTTGCTTACTGCCCTTCTCCCCTTCCCCAGCATGAGTTCTGTACTTTTCCAGAAAAAACGAAACTGGCAAGGTTATTTCAATAGAAGCCATGGAAGGGCATTAAAAAAAGGAAGGTAGGGCAGAGAGAGAGGAATTGGAATAAAGTAAAACAGACTTGGTGACATAACCACCAGACATGTTGTGTAGACTTTGGGTCCTAATTCAAACCAACCCACTGTGAAAAGGTATATTTTGAGACAGTAGGGGGAAATGTAAGTATAGACTGGGTTAAAGAATGAGTGTTCATTTTTGGGGTGTAATGGCCTGGTGGTTATGTCCTTGTTAGTTGTACTTGAAATATTTATGGGTGAAATGACATGTCTGGGATTTGTAAGGGAGCGCTGGCTGGCTTAGTTGGTAGAGCTTGTGACTCTTGATCTCAGGGTTGTGAGTTCAAACCCCACGTTGGGCTCAGAGTTTACTTTAAAAAAAAAAAAAAGATACTCCAGTAAGGAGGGAAAAACAGGGTTGGCTGAGTAAAATAGGTAAAACAAGATCAGCAAAATGTTGATAATTTTTGAAACTGGGTGACAGTTATGTGTGAATTCATAATCCCATTCTGTGGGACACCTGTGTGGTTCAGTCAGTTAAGTGTCTGCCTTCAGCTCAGGTCATGATCCTAGGATCCTGGGATCGAGTCCCACATCGGACTCCCTGCTCAGCAGGGAGTCTGCTTCTCCCTCTGCCTGCTGTTCCCCCTGTTTGTGTGCACGCACTGTCTCCCCCTCTGACAAAAAAAGCCCCCAAAAACCAAAAAACATAATCCCATTCTGTTTATTCCTGTGTGTGTGTGTGTGTGTGTATGTATGTATGTATAAAATGTTCATACAGGGGCACCTGGGTGGTTCAGTGGGTCGAGCATCTGCCTTCGACTCAGGTCATGATCCCAGCGTCCTGGGATCGAGCCCCACATCGGGCTCCCTGCTCAGCAGGGAGCCTGCTTCTCCCTCTCCCTCTCCTCTCTCTCTCTCTCTCTCTCTCAAATAAATCAATAAAATCGTTTAAAAATATTCATACATATATATGAATAATTATTCATAAACATTGTTCACACACGTATGTCTGAAAATTCCAGTAGTAAAAGTCAGAAACAAGGAACAGCAGTGATGAACTAGGGAGACCAAAGAGCCCCAATGTCCCAGCGTGGAATGTGAGGCTTGGGAATGGTATTCTTTCTCCTACTATCCTTTTCCCCTGATTATCATATTTTGCCCAAATAGCCTAGGGCTTCATTTATAGGGAAGCATCCAGCAGAACTCCCTAGTTGTTTCCCCGTAGCCCCCTTGGCTCTGCCCGGGAGCGCCACACCCACGCCTCCTCTCATAGGGATGGTGGAAATGATCCCCAATGCCGAGACGCTGCGCAAGATCCAGGTGGAGCACGGGGTGACCGGTTCCTTCAAGGACCGGCCCCTGGCAGACTGGCTGCAGAAACACAACCCCGGGGAGGACGAGTATGACAAGGTAGGATTGGGGGTGGGGGCGAGGCTGGGGGCGGGGTGCGGCTGACTCGGGCACATGGCTGTGTGAACACAAGGCCTGCGCGTGCGCGGAGGAGACAGCTCAGCTGTGTCGGGAGGAAAGAAACACGCTGGGCTGACAGGTGTCTCCGCATAGCTAGGGTTTGGGTCAAATGACTGTGGTAAGCGGACTGAGAAAATCCCCTGGTGTCCAGCTGGGAAACCTTCGTTGAGCCCCCCCACCCGCAGATTGAGCTTTGGGAGCAGGAGGGGGGCCAACTTTTGAGAAACTGCCTGGATCTCTCCTAATGGTGGCTCCTGTTCAGTTCGTCCTGTGCCCTCAGAGGGCTTCAGTGGCACTTTGTAGAACAAGAGTTAGTTGAAGGAGACTTTAGAGATCATTTTTATCCAACCCCTCTTCACAATGTGAATTAAGATCCACTCAGTTGTTCCCAGTTATGGAGCTGGTTTGAGGCAAGGCTATAAATAAGCAGAAGCCAGGATTAAGGCTGGATAGGAGACAGAGATCATAGAAAAGGAGGTTGGCCTGGTCCTTAGGTGGAGCATTCTTAGGTGGTAGGGCCTTGGAGGCCCGCTGTGGTCCATGGCTGGTCCACGGTTTTGTGGGGCTAGTCTGTGTTTATTGAGTTTAGGGGAGGGAGCCAGTCCTAATAACCAACTCATAAGAGATGGGCTATAAGCCAAAATGCCCATTTATATAATTTAACTTCCAAGGGGACCTGATACTAAGGTATATTGATCAGTGCATTTTATCCCGGAGGGAAAACCTGTATGGACAGCCGAATTATAATCAGAATGTTTGTTCAGTGAACATCTAATTAGATGATCCTAGATGGCCTTAAATGTTTGCATTCCCCAGGATTTCATTCCTGGCCTGCTGTACTCTCTTTGAATTCTCGTGCCTGCTCATCAGCTCTTATTACTTGAAGTACCACCTGTTTGCTGACATCTTCCAAAGCCATTCCTTCCTCCGTCCCTCGAGCTGTATGCTCTGAGCCATCTGCTTACTGGGTGTCTGTACTTGAACTTCATGCATACCTCAAACTCAGTATAGGCAAACCCAATCTTTCCATCTCTCCTTTTCTTGAAGCCTGCTTTTTTTGGGTGTTTCCTATTAGTAAATAGTGTGAGCCTCTGTCTCGTCACCCAAGACAGAGCCATGAGTCTTCTTGATGCTTCCTTCTGGCTCACCTCTGCTGTACCAAGCCCTGTTGATTCTTCTCCCCCAGCATCTCTCACAGCTGTCCTCTTCCTTCCATTCCCTTCAGCTATGTGCTGTCGCCTGAACCACTAGAATGCTTTTCCTTCTGTTGCCATCCTCTGCTTGAAGTCAGAAGTTCTTTTTTTAATAAAGTACAAACCGCTCATGTCACTCCTTTGCTCTAGGTTCTTCAAAGGCTCCCTATGTCCTAAAAGATAGGTCCAACATCCATGGCATTGCACACAAAGCCTTTTGGAATCCAGCCCGGCCTACCCCTGCAGTCCCATCCCCCGCAGCTCCCCTCTTATGATAACTTATGCCCCAGCCTAGGAGGCCCCTTCTATTTCCCCGATACCTTGAGATGATAGTGTTCCTTCTGCCTGGAAAACCAGGTGTTCCCTTCCCCATCCCTCAAAACCCACCCTCTCTATATTGCCAACCGCAAGACCCTCAACCCCACTAACATGTATTCCTCAGGTATTAATGGCCACCCCACAGAGGCACTGTGCTTGGTGCTGGACTTATAACATCTTCCAGCCAATGTAATAGAAAGTCATAATAAATATGATAGAAGGATGCACGACAAGAATGCACAGAGAAACTCACTCTGTGTCTTTGTGTTTAATATCAGTCTTCCAAACGCAGCCTGTCAGCTCTTCTCGGCTTTCTGCTAGAACAGTGCTGGTAGTTTCTTCCACTGACTTCCAGTAGGAAGGAACTAGAGCCGTTTGTCTTCTGGCCACTTCCTGGGCAAAGAGAGTTGCCTACATCCTTCAAGTGAAAACCCCTTAAATCAGGAGAGCTCCCTTGGTCTGGTGAGACTTCCTGCAGCTAACAACACTCCATGTAACTTAGGTGATGAGACCGGAGTCATTTACCCACAGCCATATAGCTCTTTTGTGAGTCAAGATAGGATGCATTTCAGGTAGGGGCACCTGGCTCACTCAGTCGGTAGAGCATGCAACTCTTGATCCTTGGGGTTGTGAGTTCGAGCCCCACATTGGGTGTAGAGCTTACGTCAAAATAAAATCTTAGGAAGGAAGGAAGGAAGGAAAGAAGAAAGGAAGGAAGAAAGGAAGAAAAGAAAAAGGATACACTCCAGGTAGAAAGAACATCTATGGCAGAAGACAAGTTGATGGAGATGAAGGTCAAGACTGGAAAGTTCTCCTATTGGGTTGTACTCCTTACTGAGTGGTTTGTCTTCATTCATCTATTACCCTGTCCGGGATATAGTCCTTTCCTTCCAGAAGGTGCATTCTGTGATTTCTTTATAGACTTTCTGTTCTTAGATTCCTGTGGACTCGCCACCTGGTTTAATTAGACAAGTGACTGGGCGGGGGTTCCATGTGGCTAGTTTTGAAATAGGCCTTGTGGATGGTCAAGAAGCTGCTGGGAGATAAAACCCCTAGACCCTTGGGAGAGAAAAGAGTGAGTGCTGGGTGAATTGGGGTGGCAGTGGGGCTGTCGGGGCTCAATGGGGGAGGAGTCTGTGGGAGCTGGAAGGACCTGGGACTCCCGGCCCTGAAGGATGGGGGGAAATTTGTAGAGAGGGGCAGGGAGGGCACACATTCTCTATCTGGGAAGCTTTCTCTCATTCTCAAATCCGTACATTCCTTGTTGGCTGTGCTAGTTTTTGCCCTCTGCTGATGAGTCTTTCTTCAATTCTTAGAAATTCTGTAAACCTCACAAAGAGGATTCAGAGGGTGAAAGGTATCCATTTGCTAATTCCTTATTTGTACTTCTTGGAGAGACAGAGAGGGGGACAGATGTTGACCAGATGAAATAAAGTGGATCTTAGCCACCCCTCCCTCCTGTTTTATACTTAAAAATATCTCTCACACAGTTTACCAGCTAGAGATGTCTGATTTTCAAGTGTAAAACCCTCCTAGGAGTGTTGAACTGCCTCAGGTCTTCTTTGGAGTGAAGTGACTTTAATGAGATTAGCATTTAGCTGATACCAAGAACCCTGGGAATGGAAGGTGTCTTCGGGGCAGGGAGAAGCCCGGAGAATTCTGAGCAGGGTCAGGAAGAGACCCGGAAGCCGGCTGCCTCAGGGCTGCGCTTTAATTGAGCCAGTCACAACCATTTGGGAACATGGTAAACATCCGTCTTCCTGTCTATTAAGGTCTCTTCAGTCAGGGCTGCTCAAGTCGGGGCTCCCGGATAAGTTCACTCTCTTTCCAATCAGTTTCCCTAGAAGAAGGAAAGGTGCAGAGGATGATGAATGGCAGATAAAGTGGTGGATGGAGATACACACACCAGCCTTCCACCTCCTTACAACCTATGAGACAGGAGAGAGGTGTCTGTGTGTGGGGGGGTGTGCATGAGAGCAGGGCTGGCTGGATTGAGGCTGGCCGTGGCCATTGGAGTCCCTCAGAGCCAGCTTTCTGTCCTCTCCTCCCATCTGCCTGCCTCCCCCCACCCCCACCCCAGGCTGTGGAGAACTTCATCTACTCCTGTGCCGGCTGCTGCGTGGCCACGTACGTCTTGGGCATCTGTGACCGGCATAATGACAATATCATGCTGAAGACCACCGGCCACATGTTCCACATAGACTTTGGCCGCTTCCTGGGCCATGCTCAGATGTTCGGCAACATCAAGCGGTAAGTGGTCTCCTGAAGCCAGGCTGCATGTGGAGGGCAGGGAGGTCCGTAGAAGTGGCTCTGGGCTGAACACAAGCCTCTCATGGAAGGGGGCTGCACTTGAGCTCCTGGGCTGAGCAGCTTCAGAGAAGCAAAGCCTGAGAAAGAGGTCAAGTAGTTGCAGGGCCTTACAGAAGAAGGTGGGGACCTGCTCTTCTCCCTCCCTGCTGAGGCCTGAGCAAGGGGAAATGAGCCCAAACCACAGCAAAAGGGAATAGTTAGCTATCCAGGAAAAAAATATCGGTAGCACACAGACAAGGAATCGATGAAGGACGTCTCTGGGGATCTTTTGAGATTAAGGTTGGAAAAGCAAAAGGGAACAGTTAGGGAGAGCCCCATTTCTCCAGGTTCCCACAGGTGATGAGGGGCATTCCCTGATGCACCCCACAAGGTGGGGGGCTTCCTCCTCCATGCTGACCTTCTACCTGTATGTTCCCCTCGGCCCAGGGACCGTGCCCCCTTTGTCTTCACCTCGGATATGGCGTATGTCATCAACGGAGGTGACAAGCCTTCCAGCCGCTTCCATGATTTTGTTGACCTTTGCTGCCAAGCCTACAACCTCATTCGCAAGCACACCCACCTCTTCCTCAACCTCCTGGGCCTGGTGAGGAGCTCCATCCCTTTCTGAACCCCTCCTTCTTATCATCTGGCACCATCTTTAAGACGCCCCTGTCTTGCTTCAAAGGATTTCTGGAGATTTGCTTCTCTGAGGTCTAGATAAAGGCAGGGCCCAGACTACTGGGAACAGTGGTGTGTGTGGTGTCTGACTTCCCGCCCCAGCCCCTCCCTTCCTGTGGCCTTCCAGCCCCTGCCCACAGCATCCGTCTGCCACCCCCTAGAAGGGTTAGGGAGTCTAGCTATAGCAAATCTGGCCTTACGGGGGGAAGGAGCAAGAATGTCTGGTTTTACAGGTGCCCTCTCTCCATCTTTGCTTTCCTTCTAGATGTTGTCCTGTGGGATCCCCGAGCTCTCAGACCTGGAGGACCTCAAATATGTGTATGATGCTCTAAGGCCTCAGGACACAGAAGCCAATGCTACTACTTACTTCACCAGGTAACACCACGTGCACAAAACAGTGCCCCCCCACCCCACCCCCCGAGTCCTTCATTTCCAGGCTGCCCGACGGGGAGGAGTGGGGCTAGGGAAACAGGGAAGGCATAGCTGAGATGGCGGAGCCTAGAGTTGACATGTATCTGTTGTCCTAACTTTGCCTCTGACTTAGGGAAATCACTTGACTTCCCCGACTCCATTTTCTGTCTGTACTTTGGAGTTCACCTTAGTATACAGAGCTATAGCAATCTCTTACATTCTCGCCAGGTCTTGATCAAAGACTTTGTTTATGGGACAAACATGGACTTTTCTTAGTCCTCAGCTCTCTGGATCAGAACCCTTGCACTTATCAAAACATGGACTTCCATGGTTCCATCTTCCCATACTTGGCAATGTTTTTAGGCACACGGTATGAAAGCGAGGAAGTGTCTCTGTACTCATGTCTACAGTTCTGTCCGTGTAGGCGATGCCTCTGTTTTATCATGCACTCTTTTTGGAACTTGGCGAACTAAATTTTCTCTGTTGGTCTCACATAGAACCTCCCTTTTGATCTGAAATCTCTAGATTGAACGATTCTCGGTAAGGTTCCACTGTACTGGAGGTCTCCTGTATGTAGACATTTTCATGCTGACCCTATCGTGGAATCCCTAATTCCTACCTTGGTTTCCTACCTTGGTTTAACTGTCTTTGGCTCAGGAGGGCAGCGAGGGGAGATAAGACCCCAGGATTCACATGAATAAATTGCATGTAGATAATTGTGTGCCAGTCAAGCACTCTATAAGGATATTACACAGGGAAAATGATTCTGTCTGAGCTGAGTGTTAGGCTCAGGTGTCCAGGGATATTCGTGGAGATCGCTCTGTCCAGGCAGTGGGGACTTGGGTCCGTGGTTACATCCTTTTCTTCCCATCCTCCTGCACCAACAGGTTGATTGAGTCCAGCCTGGGCAGTGTAGCCACAAAGCTCAATTTTTTCATCCACAACCTGGCTCAGATGAAGTTCACAGGCTCAGACGACCGGCTGACCCTTTCCTTTGCCCCCCGAACACACACGCTCAAGAGCTCTGGCCGCATCAGTGATGTTTTCCTCTGCCGCCACGAGAAGACTTTCCACCCCAACAAGGGCTACGTAAGTGTTTTCTCCAATCTGACCCTGTCTTGCTCCCCACCGCCCCCAGCATATTGCGGTTCTGACCTCTTCACATCCACACGGTGGGCATTGGAGTTGTGAGTATCCTGAGCTCCGGGCAGTGCAGTCACAGACCGAGCCTCTCCCCTGCCCGAGGGGGCTGCTGGAATCAGGGGGCTGAACTGCATGGTTGTTCCGTCTGGGTCAAGGGTCCTAGGAACCATGTACAGGACAAATGTACATCTGTATCGTCTTGTCCTTTGGAGACACTTTTGCACTTTTCCTTCTGGAAAGTGGACTCCCCCAACACACGCACACACACACCCCTCCCCTCTTGTGTTCCCTTACCCACTCCCTTCCTTCGGTGCACGGGGTTTGTCAGGTATTCTCTAAGACTTGGACCTTTGCAGGTTTATGTGGTAAAGGTGATGCGAGAGAACACTCACGAGGCCACTTACATCCAACGGACGTTTGAGGAGTTCCAGGAATTACACAATAAGCTACGGTTGCTCTTCCCTTCTTCCCAACTGCCCAGGTAGCTGCCCCCTTTCCTCTCTGCACAGGGGGATCCTGGGGAAGGAGAAGGGATAGGGGGCCGGCAGGATTGCAGGATCCTGAAACTACCCTTCCCAAGATCTGCTTGGTTTTCTTGGCCTGGTAATGAGTGTGGTAACGCGTGCGCCCCCTTCTGGCTGGGATCTCCTGACTCTCTCAGTCCAGCCTTGAAAATGAGCTTGGGTCCACCTGACCGAGAGAGAAAACTGAAGCGAAAGGCAGAGGACTAACTGGATCTGAAGATGTTTTAAAGTTTCTTATCTTTTGAAGAGTAAAAGATAAATAGATAAACAAAATTTGGCATATACATATGATGGAATATTATTAGGTCTTAAAAAGAAGGAAATTTTGACACAACATGGATGAACCTTGAGGACATTATGCTCCGTGAAATAAGCTAATCACAAAAAGACAAATACTGTGTAATATTCCACTTTTATGAGTCTCTAGAGTAGTCAAATTCCTGGAGACCGAAAACAGAATGGTGGTCGCCAGGGCTTGGAGGGAGGGAGGGAGGGTGGAATAGGGTGTTTAATGAGTACAGAGTTTTAGTTGTGCAAGATGAAAGAGTTCTGGAAATGGATGGTGGTGATGGTCTCACAATACTGTGAATCTAATGCCATTGAACTGTAATGGTTGTGATGGTAAATTTTATCTCCTGTGTATGTCATCACACATTTTTTAAAAGGAATTTTCAAATGAACTTTTTACCCTGATGGGGAGGACTGCGGGCTCCTCCAGAGCCCCGAGGCACTTCTGGGGGAGCCCTAGGACTGCCCAACAGCTTGGCTTTCTTGTCTGGGGTTCCTGGAACTGCTGCGTGAGATGCTGAGTGTGACATTGGCGCAGCCCCGGGGAGCCGTGGGAGGAATGGGGCCGGCTGGTGAGAAATGTGGGTCAGGTCGCTGAAAACGCAAATGAAATGTGATGAAAGGCTGCCGCCTCTTCCTTTTCTTTCCCCTTCTCGCCTCTCCTGCATTCCCACGGCCCACCTGCCTCGCCAGCTTCCCTAGTCGCTTCGTGATTGGCCGCTCGCGGGGGGAGGCGATGGCCGAGCGGCGGAGGGAGGAGTTAAACCGCTACATCCGGCACTTGACCCACGAAGCCCCCGAGGTGGCCGAGGTGGGTGGGCTCTCCTCTGTTCCCGGCTGTTCGGGGCGCTGGGGTGGGGTGCGGGGGATGTGCGGGAAGCGGGGAGGGGGTGAGCCCCCTGGCGGTCAAGGGCGGGACTTGGCTGTTTGGGTCTGACTCTGCAGGGGAGGAAGAGGAGGCATAAGAGGGAAGGAAGGAGGAAGGGGAAGCGGGGGGTGAAAGAAAGAAGGGGGGAGGAGGGTCCTGGCTCCCGCCTCTCAGGTCGTGCCTTTAAATGCAATGAAAGCATGCCTCCGGGAGCAGGGAGAGAGACATTTACGTATCAGAAGCCATCCCAGAGTGCTAAGAGTGATCAGAACCTTGGGAAGGAAGGGGTTCTTGAGGAAAAGGAGTTTTCTGAGCAGGCTGACTGTGTTTATTTACCTAGCTTTTTTTTTTTTTTAAACAGTTGGTATTACAATTTGGTGTTATAATGGGCATAAAAACAAATACAATCATCAGGAGTGTCCACCCCCCCCCCCAGATCATCTCATCCCATTTCCATCTTTCCTTCCTATTTATCTATATGCAAATGTGACTCTTACCATTTTATACTGGTCATAGCTTCAGTATTACTCTTAGAGCACAACTTTAAATATATGTACCAGATTAATACTTTGACTTGCAATACCAAAATCTCCTTAACCATTTGCTTCTTGAGAGATAGATTATGTCCATTTTTTCCCCCACTATTAATGTTAGGATACGTATTTTCACATTTTAGTTTTTGTTTTCCCTAACACAGTTAGGAAACATTCTCAAGAAGAGTAGAATTCATGGTCTCTGTTCAGGGCTGGGTCAGGTACTTCTCTGCTTGAAAGGTCTGTGTGTGTCCATGGGGGAGGGCATGGCAGAGAAGAACAGACTGCTTTTGACCTGATGTGACCTAGGTTTTTTTTTTTCCTTTTAAAAAATTTGTTATTATGAGAACTTTCAAACATACGAAAAAGCCAGAGAAACAGTATAATGTGTGCCTGTATGTCCATCACCTAAACAGTTAATGTTTTGCCATATTTGCCTATTTTTGTATGAAGTTTTTTAAGATTTTATTTATTTATTTGAGAGAGAGAGAATGAGAGACAGAGAGCATGAGAGGGAGGAGGGTCAGAGGGAGAAGCAGACTCCCTGCCGAGCAGGGAGCCCGATGCGGGACTCGATCCCGGGACTCCAGGATCATGACCTGAGCTGAAGGCAGTCGCTTAACCAACTGAGCCACCCAGGCGCCCCTTGTATGAAGTATTTTAAAGTCAATCACAGACATCACGACATTCTGTTCCTAGTCACTGTGCAACTCTGAAAAATAAATTCTTCTATAACGACAGTATCGTTATATCATCCAATACACAGTCCATATTCAAAGTTTCCCTGTCATCCCCAGAATTCTTTTTACAGTGGGCTGATTTGAGCCATGATCCAAACAAGAAGTACATACTACATTTGGTTGTTCCATTTCATAGGCTTTGTTTAATCTAGAATAGTCCCTTTCCCTTTTTTTGTGGGGCTGTTGTCTTATTGAAGAATGACTCTGTCTCTGATTTCATTTCAGTGTGATTTGGTATACACCTTCTTTCACCCCCTGCCCCGAGATGAGAAGCCTGCGGGCACCAGCACAGCTCCCAAGCCCTCAGGTACACTGTCTTTTCTGTGCCATTCCTGCCAACCTCTCTGAACCATTCCCGGGGTAGTTTTCTCCTGCACCCACCCACTCCCAGTTCTCTTCCCTTGACTTGTCTCTGTTCCTTTGCTTACTGGCTAGAGGATCTGGTTCCCCACTCAGGCTGTGGGGCCCATAGCTCCTCACACAGGTTTCCCAGGGACAGGATATTCAGTCGGTGATGACACACACACACATTGGATAGACCATCTCAACCCAGTCCTAAATCATGTTCACAGACATCACTTGGCAGTTCCCCCATGGGGTATCAGGAGACCGACATGAAAATATGGGGGTGGAGGGTGGGGAGAAGAAAACAGAAACATCTGCCTGGCACCAGATGGGGACAAAACTGGCCTCATGACCTTTCTTGCGTTTCTTTGTCCCTGTAGACGGCTCATGGGCCCGGCCTGTCGGGAAGGTGGGTGGGGAGGTGAAGCTGTCCATCTCCTACAAAAACAATAAACTCTTCATTATGGTGATGCATATTCGGGGCTTGGTAAGTATACACACAGTCTTCATTTGGTTCTCTTTCTTGTACTGTCCAACTTTGGCAAGTAGCCTAATTACTCTGAGCCTTTTTTTTTTTTTTTTAAAGGATTTTATTTATTTGAGAGGGAGAGATAGCACAAGCAGTTGGGGGTGTGGGAGAGGGACAGGAGGAGAAGCAGGCTCCCTGCTCTTAGCAGGGAACCCGACACGGGGCTCAGTCCCGGGACCCTGGGATCATGACCTGAGCCGAAGGCAGACGCTTAACAACTGAGCCACCCAGGCGCCCCCTAATTTAAGTTTTAAAAGGATCAGGCTGGATGAAGCCCTAATTGGCTGGCCTTCAGCAAACAACTTAATCTGTCTGACTCATCTTCCACCTCTTGGGGGTTACTTGGATCAAATGACAAACTAGACAAAGACATTGGGCCAGGCGGGAAGATATCTAGGGACATGATGGCTCAGTCAAAACAGACCAAGGGATGGCATGCCCGAGCATTTGTATGAAAAGTACAGACTGGGTATAATAGGCTACCAGGTTGATGTTTTAGTAGGACACCTCATATTGTCATGGGAGAGCTTTCTCTCAGAATGGAGTGAGCTGGGACGTACATTCCTGTGCCTCGCAAGAAGCCAGCTGTGGGGGATAAGAGTCTCTGGCTGGGCCGAGGTGGGGGGCGGTGGTGATCATAGGAATGGTGATAAAAGACACAGACCTGGGAATCTTTTTTTTTTTTTTTTTTTTAATTTTTAAAAAATTTCCACTCCCTTTGTAGCAACTGCTCCAGGATGGGAATGACCCGGACCCCTACGTGAAGATTTACCTCCTCCCTGACCCTCAGAAAACCACTAAGAAGAAAACCAAAGTGGCCCGGAAAACCTGCAACCCCACGTACAATGAGATGGTGTGTGAGGAATGCCGGGGGCCGGGGTTAGCTGACTACACCTGTTTGTGGAAGTCAAGTGGTGTTGGAATGGGGCCCCGCCCATCCGTTTAAGTACCGTCCTGTGGCAGTGGCAGGATGGAGTACTCATGACATAGACCAGACCCTATGGCCTCAAAAGCCTAAAATATTTCCTATCTGGCCCTTCCTGTAAACAAGTTTGCTGACCCTGAGGGTTGGGATTCCACAGCTGGGGCGTGGCCTGGGCCCTGTCCTGTGGGGGTGGGGGGGCAGGGGGAGGAGTCCTTTGCCAATAATGAGCGGTGGGCCCAGTACAAAGCCCTCACCCGCCTGACCTCTCAGCAAAGAACGAAGTTCTTTAAAGCTCTTCTCGGGTTCCAAGTGCCTTCTCTATCCCCTTGGACTCTGGTTGGGGAGCTCAGTGGTCTCAGCCTCAGCCAGATCAAACCCCCATGGCCCTAAGCGTCTCCCTCTTCTGTGTTCCCTCTCTTCCCAATCTCTGCGCTTGCAGCTGGTGTATGATGGGATCCCCAAGGGAGACCTGCAGCAGCGGGAGCTGCAGCTGAGTGTGCTGAGTGAGCAAGGATTCTGGGAGAACGTTCTCCTTGGTGAGGTGCACATCCGTCTGCGAGAGCTGGACCTGGCCCAGGAGAAGACTGGCTGGTTCGCACTGGGATCTCGAAGTCACGAGACCTTGTGAGCCCAGCAGAGCCCTCCCCTGCCGAGGACCCCAGACTGCTGGGGGAGCCAAGGGAGAGGACTCGTCCCCTGCTCCAGGGGCCCTTTCCTTGCGAAGGGGCAGGGCCCTTGGTGGCCCTCCCCTCTGTCCAGGCGGATTGGGCCTCTGTGACAGGAGGTAGGGAGAGTAAGATGCTCTCTGCTATCCCCTCCTCTGCCAAGTGAATTTGGGTTGGTTGTGATGAGCAGCCCCTTGGAGGCTGTGAGGTGGCAGCAAAGTTTTAAGTTTACCTTGTGTCAAGGGAGCAATGCCTGGTTTGGGGTGCGTGGGGTGGGCTGTATGAAGTAGCATTTGGGGGGAGGGTGGGTGGATTATCTTTATTTTTATTTTTAAAAAATGAAATAGTAATGTTGTCCTGACTGGACAGGAAGCCTCGTGAGAAGGGACTTCACATATGCCTCGGAAGGCAAGAGAGGAAGACTATTTGGACTTTTTGTATGATTAAGGTTCTTATTGGACTTTTCCTTAGGTTTTTGTTTGTTTGCTTGTCTGTTTTTCGTTTTTGTTTTTCTATCTATAGGACTTACTTGGGGAGGGGCCCAGTGGGTCCTCGGTTAGAGCCCTCCCTCTCTGAGGGCAGGTCGGGGAGGGTGGGGAGGGGCGGGTGTGCTGGACTGAGGCCTGTGCGGGGCCTTTCTGATTTTGCCTCCAAAGGAGAGCGATGTGATACCTACGTGTGTAAGGAAGGGCCTCCCGAATGGGGCTCTGCAGAGGACCTGTATTCAGGGACCTGGGCTCTCTCAGGGGGAGTTTTTCGTCTCATCTTCCCCTACTTTGCTAGGACTTGCCCTGAATACTGTCTTCTACTCCTCCATTCTCACGGCCCCCCTGGGGACCATCTGGTCCCCACAGATACGCTGGGGGTGCGCCTCCATAGGTCTCTCTCCCTTCCTTTTTCTCCGGTGGGATAAAGTGCTGCTTCAGCTCTGATTTGCTTCCACCCAAGGGCGTCCCGGCCCTGGGCAGGGGCCTCTTGGCCGCAGATGCCAGGGGGCTCCCGTCAACCCACCACACCTCTCCTTTTTGTGTGCTGTTTTCCCCAAACTCCATTTCTGTCACTTTTTTTTTTTTTTTTAAGAATTTCCCTCATTCTGTGGGGCCATAAACCTATTTAGTCTGGAGCCAAAGGGATGCCCTAAGTGGAGGAAAGGGGCCTGGGGTGGGGGATTCCAGTGATGTTCTTTGGTTTTGAGGAGGCTGGAGTGGAGCGTGTGGTTGATCCCCTGGAGCTGAGCTGGGAGGGAGAGTTTGGGGCTCTTAGCTCTTAGACTCTTTATTCCCTACCAGATGGACTTCAGATTCACCCTTGCGCTTTACTCCAGAGGGTTGTATTCCTTGGAAAAAGAGGGAGAGACTTCGAATTTGATAGGAACTTTTTAAACCAGACTTGGCTGGATGTACCCCATGATGGGGGCATGGAGGTAATCGAGGAAACTCTCAACCATCCCTCTCCCCAGCTTCCTTCTCAGCTCTAAGGATCAGAAGTCCCCCCGTTTGCTGACTCATTCCATAACTGGAGAAAGAAGCTCCATTCACTGAAGCCACAGGGTAGCAAGGAAATCTAAACTTTTCTTTTAGGTTCAAAATGTCAAGGATCAAGTAGCCACTGTGGGGAAGGGGGTGGGGGAGGTGGGGACAGGGATGGAACTTCTCCAGATGAACGGACCATAGTTGTGTTACTGGCTCTTTGCCCGTAGCTCATTTTATTTTGACCTTCTGTGCCCCTGACGTAAAGAGGTCTGTGTACTGTACCCACTTCCCAGACGTCCTTGTATCTGCTACTTTCTCTGGAATTGTATTTTCTAATAAATGACACTTGAGAAAAACAAAACTAGCATCTTAAGATTGGTTGATGTTTCGATGAAAGCAGCTGGTGTACAAGATGAAATAGTAATGGTTGGTGATCTTACAAATGGTGCCTTTCAGATGCACTGTGCCCTGCCAAATCTAGCTTCAGAACAACTCGATCGGGTGAGCAGTAGTGTCCCCATTTCACAGATGAGGAAACAAGCTCAGAGAGATTAAGTTGTTGGCCTAAGGACACAGCCAGTCGGCCTTGGGCCTGGAATTTGAATCTAGGGTTGACTCCAAGCCTGGGGCAACCTCAGATTTACAGCCCCTTAAGTTGGTATATTAATTGTTAGTTTTCAGAGTGTTTTATATATAAGTGATGTCATTTTTCCATCACAACTACCATGGGAAGCCCATATGGCGCATTCATTCATTCTGTCAACAAAGGTTTACCGTGTTTACCAGTGCTACCTTGGCATGCTTCCATTCACAAAGAATACGGCCCCTGGAGTTGTGCACTGGACCCCGGGCCGTGTGCCAGGCTGAGGGTTACAAAGATAAATCAGGACAGTCTCTGCATTTAAGAAGTCTACCGCCTGGTGGTATTTAACCAACCACATTTTATAAAAGAGGAAACTGAACCTCTGAGGTGCCTTACAACTGTGAAGTCATGAGAGCAGAGCTGTAGCCCGGAACGGAACTCGCCAAATGGAAAAAGGAGGCCATGTGACCCTTGTTCAAGCAAGTTTTCAAAACTGCAGTGGGGTGTCCTGTTTCACCCTGGGAAATTCTGTGGGGCTTCCACGGGACTTCCAGTAGTAAACAGTAGGAAGTGTTACCTGTCTTGCTGGGTTTCCAAGTGGTTTTTGAGACGTCACGGCAGTTCTGGGCAAATCCCAGTGGACCTTTTAAAAGTTAGAACTTGAATCCGGCAAGAGTCTTAGTTGAGGAAATTTCTTGGCCAAATGAGGCAGAAATCTGAACCACCCTGAGGGGGTGGGGATGGGAGCTGGGAGTAGAGGAAGAGGGGTTGCTCAGGGAAAAGAGAAACAAAAGAAGCCCAGGAGGCTGGGTTTTCTGAGTGCAAAGAGAGGTGCCAAAAATGAAATAACCTGACTGGCTGGGATTTGGGAGCAAAGATTAGATTGGACTTAAAAGGTCAAAAACGAGGCAGCATTCTTAAGTTGAGAGGTAATTTTGGTGGCTGGACCATGTCTGAGGGTTCTGTTCAACAGACCACACTAAGGGCCTTCTTGGGGTCAGGCTGGGCGTCTAGGCAGTGTGGCCATGAAAATGACAAAGATGTGGATCCCGTCATCAAGGAACTCCCTGTTCAGCTAGGGAGGCAGGCCCGGGAACAAAGAATTACTGTGCGGTGTCTCAGGATGAGGCAGGAAAGGAGAGGGGCCAGGCAGCCAGAGGGGGCTTCACAAGGAGAGACTTGAACTGAACTTTGAAGTCAGAACACCAGATTTTCTTCTTAGTGTGATGGGACTGCCCTTGGAAGATTCTGAGAAAGAGACTGTAGTGTTCCAGTTTACATTTTTAAAAGGTCATTCTGATTGTGGTAGAAAGACCACACTTTAAAAATGGTGCCCTGGGGTGCCTGGGTGGCTCAGTGGGTTAAGTGGTTAAGCGATTAAGTATCTAACTCTTGGTTTCAGCTCAGGTCATGATCTCAGGGTTGTGGGATCAAGCCCCACCTCAGACTCTGCACTCAGTTTGGAGTCTGCTTGTCCCTCTCCCTCCCCCTCTCCCCCTTCCCTCCTCACTCCCACCCCTGAGTACACACTCTCTCAAAAAAAAAATCTTTTATAAAATAATAACTAAAAGGTCATGAGGCGCCTGGGTGGCTCAGTTGGTTAAGCGACTGCCTTCGGCTCAGGTCATGATCCTGGAGTCCCTGGATCGAGTCCCGCATCGGGCTCCCTGCTCGGCGGGGAGTCTGCTTCTCCCTCTGACCCTCGCCCCTCTCATGTGCTCTCTCTCATTCTCTCTCTCTCAAATAAATAAATAAAATCTTAAAAAAAAATAACTAAAAGGTCATTCTGGCTGTTTGAAGCAAGAAGGGAAGCTGCAGGGAAGGCTCTTGCAGAAGTCTAGGAGGGAGATGACAGGGCAGGGGGGTTGGGGGGGGTTGGTGAGAAGTGGTTAAATTCTGGAGAGAATTAGTGAATTTCAAGGTAGAGCCCATGGATTTGCTGATGAATTCGATGTGGAGTTGAGGGAAAGAGGAAGTGAGGGTGACTCTAAGTTTAGGGCCTTGGCAACTGGGTGAGGAGGACTGGGGGTAGCCATTGAGGGAGCATTGGGAGGATGGGCTTGGTGGAGCTGAATCAAGAGTTTTGTTTTGGGCACCTGGCTGGCTCAGTCGGTAGAGCCTGCGACACTTGATCTTGGGGTTGTGAGTTCAAGCCCCACACTGGACATGGAGCCTACTTAGTAAGTAAATAAAATTATTATTTAAAGAGTTTTGTTTTGATCATGATCAATTTGAGATATGTGGACATCCACGTGGAGAAGCCAGAGAATGGAATCTGAAGCTCCTGGGAGAGGTCAGCCTGGAGTTTAGAGATGGACATCATCCGCATGGGGTTGAGATCACCTGGATTAGGCTAGAAAAAAACACGTGGGTGGACTGAGCTCTGATACAGGCCAACATTCAGAGGAGGAAGAGGAGGAGCCCCTGGAATTGTTGGGAAACCAAGGGAGGGCCATCACGAGAGCCCAAAAAAAGGTACTGTCCATATTCTAGGGCTGCCGTACAAAGCACCGTAGACTGGGTGAAGTAAGCAACAATTTAATTTGCTCACAGGTCCGGAGGCTGGAAGGCCACGATCGAGGAGTTGGCAGAGTCAGTGCCTTCTGAGGGTTGAGAGGGAGAATCTGTTCCATGCCTCTTCTACCTTCTAGTAGTTTGCTGGAAACGGTTCATATTTCTTGACTTGTAGGTGCATCGCCCCAATCTCTGCCTTCATGTTACACGGTGTCCTCCCTGCATGTGCATGTGTGTCATGCATGTGTGTCTGTCCTTTGTATAAGGACACAATCATACCAGATTGGACCCACCCTAATGACCTCATCTTAACTTGTGAAGACCCTGTTTCCAAATAAGGTCACGTTCACAAGTCCTGGGGGATTAGGACTTCGACATCTTTCAGGAGGACACAGTTCAACCCACCACAGTCAGAGGACTGGACTTGCTAAACTGTTCTTGGCGATCTTGATAAGGGTTGTTTGTTGTTGTTGTTGTTTTCTTAAATAGGCTCCATGCCCAGGGTGGGGCTTGAACTCAATGACCCTGAGATCAAGAGTCTGATGCCCCACCCACGGAGCCAGCCAGCTGCCCCATGAGGGCTGTCTGAATGAGTAGTGGGGACAAAGGTTACACTGGAGGCAGCTGAAGAGAGAATAGATGCTGAGAAAGTAGAGACCATAACCATAGATGACTCTTGAGAAACTTTGCTGTAATGGTACAGAAACTTGGAGGGGCACGAATCTGGGAGAGTTTTTTTAAATTTTTAAATTTTTTATTTTTTTAAAAGATTTTAGGGGCGCCTGGGTGGCTCAGATGGTTAAGCGTCTGCTTTTGGCTCGGGTCATGATCCCAGGGTCCTGGGATCGAGTCCCACATCGGGCTCCCTGCTCCTTGGGAGCCTGCTTCTCCCTCTGCCTCTCTCTCTCTCTCTCTGTCTCTCATGAATAAATAAATAAAATCTTAAAAAAAAAAAAAAGATTTTAGAGAGGGGCAAAGGGAGAGAGAGAGTCTCAAGCAGACTCCACGTTGAGCACGGAACCTGACACGGGGCTTGATCTCAATACCCTGAGATCACTCACGATCTGAGCCGAAACCAAGAGTCGGACATTTAACTGACTGTGCCACCCAGGTGCCCCAGGTTTTTTTAATTTTTAAGATAGGTGATACTAACTCTGCATGTGAGTGCTCTAGAAGCTTGAGAGAGAAAATTACATGTTACAGGAAAGGGGCTAAGGGAGGCCAGAATTCCTTTGGTAGACACGAAAGGACAGGATCCAGGAGGCTGCTTTTCTTGTCATGGGATTGAAGGCAGGAGTAGTGGGTCCAAATGCAGGTAGATTGGTGGATTTAGTGGTGGAAAGATGAGGTTGTCTATGTCCAGTTGTATCTGGTTTCCCAATGAAGTATAAGGTGTGATCCTAAGCTGAGAATGTGTGTTTACGGGAATGCTGGAAATTGGAAGAACAGGCATTGTGAGACCGTCTGCGTGTGGGAGAAACAAAGCTACAGTGGAACTATCCAGTGCTGTAGGGAGTGGCTGGCACTGATGAAATTTGGGATCACAAATACGAAGCAAGTCAGTCCGCTCGGCTGAGTGCTTCCGCAATGATTGGCTGCGAGTGCGTAGACTCAGAGTAAGTGGGTAGTTGGGTTTAACTAGGGTTGGAATCTTGCCAGAGAAGAGCAAGAGTGTGAAGGGTCTTTGCAAGGGGACCACAGAAGGCACGCTGGGTGAGCGGGGAAGTGAGGGAGCGTTTCTGGGGGCTGATAACCAGGGCAGTGTTTTGCAGAGATGGGAGGTGGTAGCCACCCAAAGTGTGGGATGCTGAGAAATAAGATTTTGAAGAAATGAAGAAAAATGAAGTCAAAAGCAATATAGCCTTTATGTCAGGCCCGCAAAATCTTTTAAAACACATGTACTTAACTGAGGTTTAAATCTTCTCTTTTGCCCAAGTGCCCGTCAGCTTACCAGTCCGAGGACTTCTTGTCTTCACCAGCATGCCTGCAGCCATGGCAACACCGTGTTATCTCTGTGTCCAGACCTACCCTCCGTCTGCCTTCTACTTGATAGCAGGCTTGAGGAGGCTAGTTTACACCCCTTTTTTTCCTGTTGGGACTGATTGGACAAAGTCACGTATTCCTATAGTTTTTGGTACTTTATGATTGTGGTTTTTTTCCCTTTAGAACAACTTCCAAGGTGAGGAAAATAAAATTATGTATTCAACGACTAGATGGGGAAGGGGAGGCTCATTCAAGAAAGCTTTAAGAAATGTTTTTCGGGG